CTCGAGAGCCGCATGCGGTTTGCCAACCACTGCCAATAGACCATCAGCACCCAAAGTGACAAGAACCAGACTTTGAGGAGCCCTGCCTCTACGTTCTCTTTATTTGATCCATTCCAGTTTTTCTCACAAGGCCATTATTACTGGGGAAGGGAAGTCACGTCAGGGAAACCAAGAGAAAAGTAAACGCAGTACAGTTCTGAGATCCTTGTTAAAGTCCTACTATGGCCTTCCATCCATCTTGGAGGTAGAAGAATGAAAATCATCCCATAATTCTGCCTCTTTTGTGCCGCTCTTCAGGTCTCTCGGGGTCTAACCAGCATTCTTATATCTGAGTTTAGTAATTCCTTGGAGCCTTTTTTTTTTTTTTTTTCTCCATCATAGATTCTCTTCCAATCAATAATGCCCAATTACCATTCTCCATGTTTTATATCTAATATTTTCATCTTCTTATGAAAAGACCCCATTTGTGATTTCCCCCATCTAATTATATTTTATTTATTTTTCACCTTGCATTATTGTATCACAATCTCTACAAAATTATAATTTCTTTTACTAAACTTATAAAAACTTCCTCTGCCTTACTACTTTTTTCCAAAGGGTGTCATTCTCTTTCAACCACTATGAACACCTTTGGACTACTTCCTACTATTGCCATGTGCCTCCTTCCACTTTGAGATTTATTGTTTGCTTAATTATATTCTCACAGCAGGCACCAAACAGGTCAATGCTGCGATCCCCACAGGCCACCACTAAAGGCCACTCCAGCTCGCCCTCAGGTGGGAGTTCAGTTATGGGGAGTCTGTTCTATTCATCCCTCTAAACTAGGGGTTTTCAACCTTTTCCATCTCATGGCACACATAAACTAAATTCTGCAATCCACCAAAAAATATATTATATTGTACACAGTGCCTGGGAAGGCACATGGGCATTTCTTTAATTATTGTCAGCTGAACTCAGGGCCATAGGCAGAGCCAGGCCCTGGGAACATTCTTCCCCAAAAAGACTGGATATGTTATCAGTACTGACCTTCGTCCAGGTATCCCGGAGTGGGCTTTGATATGTAAATCCAGGCAAGCAACAGGAATGCTAGGGCCTACTCAAGAATGCAAATAAGCTCTTTTGATCCTAAGTTTTGGTGATACTTCCTGGTATTTGGGATATATAAATAAATGTACTGCCTGGGCTCAGGCCCTGGCCTCTCCATCAGAGGAGGCAGCGGTTCCACCAAGCTCCCAGCTTTATACATCTATCTCTGCATCTTCTTTCTTTTATTTCTCAATCCCTGGCCGCCGCCACTTAGAACCGGTTCATGTATCTCTCTGTCTGTGCTGGACAAAAAAAAAGGGAGATCTCCACCATATCTGGCCCCTGCTGCATCTGGCCCCCGCATTATATTATCTATTTGACACACACACACACACACAAAAAAAATAGGTATAATTTTGATTCATTCACACCAGACAGCTATTGTTATGTTGGCTGTTGTCATTTGACAATCTAAGGGGAGAAATTAGCGCCCCTGACTAAATAGTTAGGAACTGCATGTCTTAAAAATTCTTGTGGGACACAGGTTGAAAATCACTGCTCTAAGCCAAGAGAATCGCAAGTTAAGTTATGCCTGTGTGCTAATTGCACCAGCCCTGAGTGATCTAAGACTTGTTTCTGAATCATTACTCCATCCAGTAGAGATGGGAACAGGGCTTCTCTGCCCCACAAAGGTCCTGAAATACATTGCACATCCCTGATAACTGCATTCAGAACCACACTGTATGTTACCCATGACCAACACCTGCACCAGACCCTCCACAGCCCTGTCAGCCTGTCCTGGCTGAGGCGCCCTTACTTCTCTCCAATTAGGAATAGCATCAGCCACCTTGGGCCAGACAAGAAAATAAGGCAAGGACCAAACACACCAACTATCAGGTCCTCCCCTAAGAACAGACTGGAACTGTACAGAGGAAGCCTCTCCTCTAGATCTAATTAATGATCAAGCTCATCATTCACAGCCCAACCTCACACCCTGGATCTTCCTTGGTAATCAATCCTATGTATTAAAAGCCCAGTGACCAAATGGCAGAATGACCAGAATGGCCCGTCGATTAGTTGTTATGATGTGCACTGACCACCAGGGGGCAGGTGCTCAATGCAGGAGCTGCCCCCCAGTGGTCAGTGCACTACCATAGTGGTAGTGCAGCTGGGCTGACTCAGAATAAGCTGCAGCTCCCGCACAGCTGGGTCCATCCAGGATAAGCTGCTGCTGCTGCTCCCACTACAAACCTCAGGCCAACAGGCATGAATCCAGGCTGCAATGGCCTCCTTGCCCCAGGCTCCTCCTCCTTGCTCCCTGCCACCTCCTCCAGACACCCGCAGGCCATACAGCACCACTGCCAAGCTCACAGAGCTGACCCCAGAGGCAAGTTTGTGGCTGCTGCAGAACTGAGGCCTTCTAGACTGCCTCTCAGTGCTATTGTCCCTGGGCCCAGTCTGACCTGGTCCCCTGGGGAGGTGAGTGCTCTGGCTCCACGGAAGATGCTGGACCAGGGAGCAGCTGCTCAGAGTGCTGGTCCACAACCAGGAGATGAGAGGTGCTGCCACAATGGGCCTATCCCCACAGGCCACACTCCCAATAGTGCACAAATCCTGTGCACCGGGCCTCTAGTATGGTTTATTGATTAAAATTCCAAGCACTACTCTTTACTAATCATGAGATAGGGGATAAGTCACATATGTTCTATCAAAGAATAACTCAGCCATTAATAAAGGGGAATATTTTTATTCATGTATACTGATATGTACAGATTGAACTTATTGAACATCAATAGAATATAAAATGGAAATCGGTCACAAAAACCGGTTTGGCTCAGTAGATAGAGCGTCAGCCTGTGGACTGAAGGGTTCCAGGTTTGATTCCAGTCAAGGGTATGTCCCTGGGTTGCAAGCACATCCCCAGTGGGAGGTGTGCAGGAGGCAGCTGATTGATGATTCTCTCTCATTGATGCTTCTAACTCTCTATCTCTCTCCCTTCCTCGCTGTAAAAAATCAATAAAATATATTAAATAAATATAAATATGTATATATATTATTTTCTCCCACCCCCCCTTTTTTTTATTTGAGGTATAATTGACATATATTATCCGAGATTCAAGTGCACAAGATAAAATGTCATATTTGTATATATTGCAAAATAATCACCACAGTGAGTTTAACTTAAATTCATCACCATACAGTTACAAATATTTTTCTTACAATGACCTTTTAAGATTTACTTTTAGCAACTTTCAGATATGCAATACAGCATTATTAACTCGAGTCACTGTGCTATCACATCCCCATGACTTATTTAAAACTCAAAGTCTTTTGATCCCCGTAACTCATGTCTCCCACTTCTTGTCCCCAACCTCAAGCGACCACCAATCTGTTCTCTGAATCTATGAGCTCATTGGGAGGGAGGAGGGTACTTTTTTAGATTCACGTATAAGTGAGATTATATAGATTTTTCTTTTATTTCACTTAAAATACTACTCTTAAGGTCCATCACTTTGTCACAAATTGCAAGATTTCCTTTTGTTATGCCTAAACAATATTCCATTGTGTACATAGTAATATGCCTCATTATGATGTTTCAAGGAACAATGGACTAATCACATATACAATAGTGGACCCACAGCTCATAGCGGAGCAAAAACCCTCCTATCACCTAGGAAGTCATAGCCATCCTAACATTGTACCACAATGCATTATTCACAAGATGATGAATTTAAATTAGATTTACTGTGGTGATGCTGGTATAAACAAACTGCTGTGCTGCCAGTCATACAAAAGTGTACAAAATTATGCACAATACAAAATACTTGATAACGATTGTTCCTGGCTCATGTATTTACTATGCTATGCTTTTATTGCTGTTTTTGTAATCCTCACCTGAGAATGTTTTTATTGATTTTAGAGAGAAACATGGAATTGGGAGAGAAATATTGATTGGTTGCCTCCTATACCTGCCCCAACCGAGGATCAAACCTGCAACCTATGTATGTGCCCTAGCTAGGAATTGAACCCACAACCTTTTTGGTGTATGGGACAACACTCCAGCCAACTGAGCCACCTGGCTAGGACCTTTTACTGCTATTTTAGAGTGTACTCTTTCTATGTATAAAAATAAGTTTTCTGAAAAACACTATGTGGAGTTACACTAGCAGCAGCCTAGCCTGTTGGCTGTGTCTCTTGATATCATTCTCTCTTCTGCTTGATTTGGTCTCATATTGTTTGATGATTTTAGTGCAGTCTGACTGTACAGGAGCAATAGGCTACTAGTATATCATCTAGGTCTGTGTAAGTATAATCAATGATGTTAATACAACAATGAAATTGCCTAAAAATATATTTCTCAGAATGCATCCCCTTTGTTAAGTGGCACATGACTGTGTGTTGGGAGTGTATCACATTTTCTTTATCCCCTCATCCATCCATGACACAAGTTGATTCCATGTCTTGGTTATTGTACGTAATGGTGCAATAAAGATGGAGGTATGGGTAATTTTTCAAGTTTGAATTTTCCTTTCCTTCAGATAAATGCCCAGAAGTAAAACTGCTGGATCATATGGTGGTTCCATTTTTAATTTTTTTGGAACTTCCATGCTGTTTTCAGAAAACTTATTTTTATATTTATCTTAAAATATAAATATATCGTATATTCCCACTAACAGTACCCACATCTTCCCTTTTCACCACATCCTTGCCACCACTTTTTATTTCTTATCTTTTTTGATAGTAGATATTCCAAGAGGCGTGAGGTGATGTCTCATTGTTTTGATTTGCATTTCCCTGAGGATTAATGATGTTAAGCACCTTTTTATATCCAGGCTGGCCATTTGTATATCTTCTTTGTAAAGTGTTGCTTTCTTCTTTTCTTGGAAAGAGATGATTGGCCAGAGGCTATCCAGGAAAGCAGTTTGAACAGTCTCCTCTTGAGCAAACTGTGGCAGTCATCAGGAAAAGTAATGTCAGTTACCCGTTCTCTGAGAAAGTGTGAGGTTTCTGTTATCCGTCTGTGTAAGAATTGCCTTACACAGTGCTCCTCCATCTGAAGACATCATGAATGCACCAAGTTCCAATTCTTTAGTCTCTTCTTGTGGTACTGGATCATGACTCCTGAGAAGCAGCTTTCTAGATGTGTTAGAAATAGGAGAGAGTTATTGGGAGTAGTGCCTATGAAAGAGGGCACAGAAGTCAGTGAGGGAAGCCTTTAGGTCATGATGTAGATCTGATATTTGTGAAGAAAGGAAGGAGAAAGGATTGGGAAGCAAGAGTTTCAGATTCTAGTGCAACTCTGAGAAAGTCTCAGCCACTCCACAGAGAGCTCGAAAGACTCCTGCTTTGTTCAGGCACTGGCTGGACCTCCTGAGGGAGAGGACAGCAGCAGATCCCTGAGATGGCACAGGTAGAACATGTTACCTGGGTGCATGCTTCATAGCAGACTCTCTCACAGCTCTAGAGCAACCACTTTTGGTCAAAACTCAGCTCTCTGAGGAGCTGTATCAGTTAGTTTTTGCAATATAACAAGCAAGCCTATTTTAAAACAGTGGCTTTAAAATAATAAAGATTTATTTCTCACACATTTGAGAGTCGACCCTGTTGATGGTGATGATCTCAGTTAGATTTGTTCACACGTCTAGGAACTGGATGGCTGTCGCCTAATCTATAGCTGGTTCTCAAAAAAAACGTGGTTTTGGTTAATGCCCTCCATAATGTGGATGAGATGCCATGGGAACTTGCCTCTTATTTATATCGGTTAGCATATAGTAAACTTAGCTTCATTATATGTCGTTTTGTTTCAAGTTGCAGAACCTAGGTATGATATGAAGTGAGGTCTTACTGAAGACTGACCTCCTCTAGAGCAACTAGCACTGGCTTCAGATCTCTCATCTTCCCTCAGGCTAGCTTAGAATCTTCCTCTCACTAATGTCAGCACAAAAGAAAGCAAATGGGAATACGCAAGGCCTCTTTCACTGTCTCATTCTATTGGCCAAAGCAAGTCACAAGGTTGAGCCCTATGTTAAGGGCAGCCCATGAATGGAGGGCACTGAAAAGTTACATGGCTTCTCATCATTGATGTTTCTGTATATCTCTCCTTCTCCCTTCCTCTCTGAAATCAATAAAAATATATTTTTAAAAAGTTACATGGCAAAGGATAAATATTAGGGAAATTTGGAGGCCTGGAGCCTTCATTACAAACCAGGACAGAAAACAGAATGGTTATGAAGGCGTTAGTAGTCTCTTTTTTCAATGTGAAATGTCTGCTAACAGTGACAGTACTAGATATTAGAAGCCAGAGGAAGGCCAGAAATATGAGAACACTCACAAATATCACAAGAATCATTTGAAAACCACTTTATATCCAGTTTTCACATTGGCCTAACCCCAATCAGAAGAAAATGTCCCATCTTAGCTGGTTTGGCTCAGTGAAAAGAGCATTGGCCTGCAGACTGAATGGTCCTGAGTTCAATTCTAGTCAAGGGCACAAGCCTGGGTTGTGGGCTTGATTCCCAATGAGGGGGCATGCAGGAGACAGCCGATCAATGTTGCTCTCTCATCATTGATGTTTCTATCTCTCTCTCCCTTCCTCTCTAAAGTCAACAAAAATATATTTTTTAAAAAGAAGAAAATTTCCATGAATCACTGGCCAACTTTAGATAAACAGCCTTTTTTTCTTGATTAACTGATTATTCTACTTTTCCTAAAGCATTTTTTTTTAAGTTGGACAAACAAGTTTATTTGTAAATTTAGTCAAACTTCATAATTGACCTAAAAACGTCAATAGAAGAATAAATTTTAAAACCCACTTAGAAGACCAGCTCTATAAAGTGATTTCCCCAGGACCATGTACCAGCATTTCTAATGAGATGTATTGGCTACTGCACAGATTCTGCCTTGGAGACCCTAAAAAAATGAGGGCAATTTAATATCTAGAACTATTTTAAGCAAAATGTTTACACTAGTCTCTTAGACTTCTATTCCTCGAGTTGTTTTATGTGCTGTTTAGACCACCGTCAAGATAAAAATAGTTTGGAAACACCAATGAGAGCTAGGAACTCTTGATTTAATGATGAAATCTAGTTGTAAGCTATCCCTTTAAGCTGTTAACAAAATGTGAGCACCTGGGGAAGGAATTCCCCTCTCTGAGCTGTAGTTCTATGTGTGAGAACAACATTGCAGCCCATACACAGTTCAAAGGCTGGTCTGAATGAATATACAGTGAGGCCTGGTTCACAATGAGGCTGTATGTCAGGAAGAGGCAGAGGAGCCTTACAGTGCAGCTCCTCAGAGTTGCAAGCTACCACATAAGGATCTAAGAAGAACTTTCTTCCCTGACACAGCATCAGAAAAAGCCAAACACCACACACACACATACCACATTGAAATTCCCCCCCGGCATCGATCCTGAGAACTCTCAGATATCCCTTACTGGCAAAGGCCCCTGAACTCCCAGAGCCAATTCTAAAACACAGGGCTAAACTTTGCTTTGACATCCCCCTTACCTTTTTTTGTAACAATAAATCAGTCGAATGATTGCTGCTGCTATTCCAAAACAGCCAATAGCAACCAACGAAGTGTCACTAGGGCCCCAGGTATGTCCCATCTCAGATCCTGCAGAAAGAGGAGGCAAACGTTAAAAGGAAACCAACGGACAGGTTCCAGTAATCACACAAACAACTAAGATATCTGTGATCGTGTGTCATTTCCCTGTCATAGATATAACCACCAATCCTCTGCCACACTTCATGTTATCCTGATCATACACCTCCACACATCAAATAGTGTGTTTAGCATCTTCCAGAAATACATGGCAATATCAAACACCTCCTACCACATATGTATGCCATGCACATGTCCAAAGCTTCCACACTCTACCATCTTACATCACTATATACTGCTATATATTGAATATCTGTGTCCACCAAAATTCATATGTTGAAATCCTCATACCCAATGTGATGATATTAGGAGGTGGAGCTTTTGGGATATCATTAGGTCATGAGGGAGGAGCCATCATGAATAATTAGTGCCCTTATATAAGAGGCCCTAGAGAGATTCCCTCATCCCTACCACCATGTGAGGATCCGTGTGACCGAGAAGGAAGCCCTCACCAGCCATGCTGGCACACGGATCTTAGACTTCCAGCCTCCAGAACTGTGAGAAATTAAACTGTTGATTATAAGCCACCCAGTCTGTGGCAATTTATTACAGCAGCCACAAGTCACCAACACAAATCTCTTATTTTATACTAGAGGCCCAGCTTGCACAAAATCTTGTGGGGGTAGCTGCTTTCACTTGCCTCAGCTGGCTGCCCCACCCATCACCACTAGTAGATCATGCCTTGCCCCCACTGTCCCCCTCACCAGTCCCCTACCCCATGCTCATTTGGTTGTGACATAATTATGGCCTAATGGCCATGGGCCTTTTATATGAGAGATTATTCACCTAAATCATATTTCTATTCCATATTTCCCATGTGCCACACATATCTTAAACACATCACGCTTGCTTCCAAAAGCAATTCCTCTCTCCCTCCAGGGCCACCCCAGGTCCCATCTGGCAAAACCAGTCAGGTCATGTATCCCTAACCCCTCTCAGCTCTAGGCAGATGCATTTGACCTGCAGGGTCATTCCCCCCAGGACCATGACCATGGAACCAAGATATGAGCTCAATTAACCTCACCAGGGTTCTGTAGTGAGCTGGGTTCTGTATTATCTTAAGCTCAGGATCTAGTGTGCCTGAGAAAAGGCCTTGGCATTTGCAGGACTCCCTACTATGGACTCCCCAGCTTGGGCACAGAACTACTGATCTGCCCTCTACCAGCCAACAGTTTGCAGTGGCCCTGGAGCCTGGCCAGAAGAGTTACTGAGGGTTGGGTCTCTGGCCCCTGATAGACCCCTATCCTCAGGGGGCATGGATAGGATCCTATCCCCTTTCTCCTCGTAGCTGACTGGCTTCCTATTCCAGGTCATATAGACCACCCAGCTCCTTAAGCTGCCATAAGTTAACAGCAACCCTGGGGACTCCTGTCACCACTTTCCACCTATTAGGTCATTCACCCTGCGTAGGGACCTAGTCTGGACTGCTGGCTCTGGGGCTGAAGTAGGCCAAACCCAGCTTTCTCTCCTTCCCCATTAGCCCCCATCTTGGCCTAGACTAACTGGGAACTTCAATGTTACATTCTATCCCATCAAAGTGAAGAGTAAGGGATACGTTTAGAGGATGCTTACCTCTCCAAAACTGGGTGAAGTTCAACCTACAGGAGGTGGGCAAGGATCTGTGACTTATCACACATTGGTAGGTGGTCACGTTGTGTTCCAGCCTCACACGGCTGGTGATGTTAAATGTGCCGTCCTCATTCTTGATGGCTGGACCAGTGGTGATACCTTCAGAAATCTCCTGGCCCTGGTGGTTTTCCTGGGTCCATGTATGCCATGTTATGGTAATGTCCTCTGGATAGAACCCATATGCCTTACACAAAATGTATTTGTCGCCATCATCTTTCACCATAGCTTGCTCTCGAAACCAGGTGCACTCTGGGGAAGCTGCCAGAGAAGAGAAGTCATGATTTGAGGGTAGGTTGGGATTAGCTTATTATCAGTTCAAAGCCTGACCTTTAGTGAGCCTTCAGGAAAGGTGAGTGAAACGAGTAAGATTCTGCTTAACCTACATAATCTAGGTATGCTGATCCCAGTACCAATGTGATGCTGATAGACCATGACCCCAACCAACTCACAGCCATTTTGTAAAGCAGAGTTTCTTAAGCCACTTGCTGTCATAGACACCTTTGAGAATGGGAGGTAACCTTTGGAATACTGTTGTGGTAGAAACTGCTGTCTATTCTCCAATGACACATCCAAGTTAAAGCTATATCTCCCAACCTCCACTTCAGCTGGTGTAGCCATGTGAATTCAGGGTCTACTAGTTCAGATAGAATCAGAAGTAGGGAGAGCAACCTCAGGGAAGTACCCTTAAAGAACAAGGTTATCTTAAAGAAAAGCACTATGCCCTTCTCTCCCTCTCCCCTTCTTCCTTCCTGGAGAACGGCTGAAAGACCATGTCATGGTTCAAAATGGAGAAGCCATCTCCAAACACAAGGTGAAAGCCACATGTTGAGGATGCCAAAGTGACAAAGATAAAAGGACTCTGGGTCCCAGATGATCACAGAATTGCCCTACCTGCCCAGGATTGGCTCCATTTTTGTGAAAGAAAAATAAACTACCTTTTTTTTTTTTTTTTTTTTTTAGAGCTAATGACTGACTAGTAAGAGTTAGTCTGTTTTTTGGGTTTTTTCTTAATATATTTTATTGATTTTTCACAGAGAGGAAGAGAGAGGGATAGAGAGCCAGAAACATCAATGAGAGAGAATCATTGATCAGCTGCCTCTTGCACACCCCCTACTGGGGATGTGCCCAAAACCAAGGTACATGCCCTCGACAGGAATCGAACCTGGGACCTCTATCCACTGAGCCAAACCAGTTTTGGCATAAACTACCTTTTTAAAAGGCCCTGTTGCTCCAGCCAATGTGGCTCAGTTGGTTGAGTGTCTTCCCAGGACCAAGAGGTGGCTGAGTTGATTCTCAGTAAGCACACATGCCCTGGTTGTAGGCTTGATTTCTAGTAGAGTGCATGCAGGAGGCAACCAGTCAATGTTCCTCAAACATCAATGTTTCTCTCCCTCTTCATCTCCCTTCCTCTCTCTCTAACATCAAGAAAAACATATTTTAAAATTAATTAAATTAAAATAATATAAGCTCTTGTTGACTTCTGTTTTCCTCTCTGGCATGTAAAGAACTAGAAGTCATCACTCCTATTCTCATCCTATATAATAAAGATGTAATATGCAAATTAACCATCACTCCAACACACAAGATGACTGCCCCCTTGTGATCAAAGATGGGTGGTCCCCGAGCCGGTTTGGCTCAGTGAATAGATCATCCGCCTGAAGACTGAAGGGTCCCAGGTTTGATTCCAGCCAATGGCACAGGCCTGGGTTACGGGCTCAATCCCCAGCAGGGGTTGTGCAGGAGGCAGCCAACCAATGATTCTCTCTCATCATTGATGTTTCTATCTCTCTATCCCTCTCCCTTCCTCTCTAAAATCAATAAAAGATGGGTGACCCCATATGGACACAAGATGGCCACCACAAGATGGCCAGCAGGGGAAGGCAGTTGGGGAAGATCAGGCTTGCAGGGGAGGGCAATTAGGAGTGACCAGACCTGCAGGGGAGTGCAGTTGGGGGCAATCAGGCCAGCAGGGGAGGGTAGTCGGGGGCAACCATGCTGGCAGGGGAGGGCAGTTGGGGGCAATCAAGCTGGCAGGGTAGCAGTTCAGTATCAATCAGGTTGGCAGAGGAGGGGCTAAGGGATGATCAGGCAAGCAGGCAGGCAAACAGTTAAGAGTCAGCAGTCCTGGATTGTGAAAGGGGTATCTGACTGACAGTTTAGGCCCAATCCTAGGGATCCCAGATTGGAGAGGGTGCAGGTTGGGCTGAGGGACACACACACACACACATACACACACACACACACAAACCTGTGCACGAATTTTGTGCACCAGGCCTCTCATAATAGGAATAAAAGCTGACCTGAACCAACTGCAAATCAACAAATTTTCTTAGACCCATCAGAGAACTGACAACCCTGAAAGCTAGAGAGACAAGCAGATTGAGAGAACCACAGCCAAAATCATATCACCATAAGCAGAAAGTGCTGGAGTTATAACTGAAAAATGGCTAAAGGATGAAGGTGGATTAGCTGGAGGCCAGTCTTAGGAGGTTTTTCTGGGTTTTACCTCTAGGAACTCCCTTCCCCACTGCCCTCCTCAGGTTCTTGCAGTTGCAAGAAAAATTCCCTCCCGTCTAGGGGGTAAGGGAGAGAAAAAGTGACCATTTAAAAATATACCCAGTGCATTCTCCATAACAAAGAATGTTCTCAAGTGGGAAGACTTTGCCAGAGCCCTGGCTGACCCGGGAGAATGACCCTCTATTACCTTCCTTTCTCACCCAGGAACACTTCTGAAGGTCATAGCCTAGGGGCTCAGGCCACTCAGAGAATGAGATTTAATATCAGATGACAGACTGCTTCCCCTCCACACCACTTTACCACCACACCAATAGGGCTCCTGTTCTGTCCCACTGACCTATATGCATATCTTTAGGTCAATACCACACTGTCTTGATAATAAAAACTCCAATTTTGTTTTTATTAAAAAAAATCAATAGAAAAAATATCTTCAAGTGAGGATTAACAATAACAAAAAGTAAAGGGGTTTATATACAATGCTAACCCTAATCTAAAGAAAACTGGAATAGCTTTATGAATTTCAAAGTAGCCTTTAGAACAAGAAAAATTATCAGGGATATTAGGTCAAAACTAAGGTTATCTACGTAAACTATGGACATTAACTAATAAAAATGTATTGATATTGGTTCATTAATTAAAACCAATATACCATACTAAAGAAAGAGGTTAATAATAAAGTGGTATATGCACAGGCAGGATCATAAAGAAACTACTACCCTGTTTCCCCGAAAATAAGACCTAGCGCATGGAAAGATAAGACATCCCCTGAAAATAAGCCCTAGCGCAACTTTGGGAGAAAAAATTAATATAAGACACTGTCCTATTTTCAAGGAAACAGGGTATCTTTGCAATTGTTTCTATAAATCTAAAACTGTTCTAAAAAATAAAGTATATTAATTTTTTTTAAATCTTTTTAGGCTTCTTGTCAGTTATGGAAGAAATGAATCCTAATACACTTTCCCACACCGCCCCCCTAATTAACATGTACAAAACATTCAAAGTCTTAAGAGGGCTCCTAGACATTGCCCCCACTATAGGCTGCATTGTGGCCCCTCCCCAAAATTCATATGTTGAAGCCCTAAACCCATTCTCTTAGACTGAGACTATATTTGGAGACAGGGTCTTTTTTTAAACTCAGGACCCTTTGCTCCGAGGGCCCACATTCTATCCACTGAGCCAAACCAGCTAGGGCTGGAGTCAGGGTCTTTACAGAGTACTGTTACATCTGTTTAGAGAAAAGGACACTGAGGTTCAGCGTGGTTAATAACTTGCTCTAAGTTGTCCAGACTCCAGGGAAGCCCAGAACTTAAACCCATATCTATCCAACTCCAAGGCCCATGCCCAAACTTGTGCTCTACTTCAGTGATCCACATCCCTACCCCAAGCCCCATCACCATGGGAACCACAGGACACTGCCTCAGGCACTCACCCAAAACTTTTAGAAAGACTGTTTCCTGGGCCTTTTCGGGGGTAACCACCACTTCACATCGGTACTCTCCTGTGTCTCTCAGCTGGACTCCAGGAAGGTGCAGTGAGACGTCCCCCTTCTCTAGCCCCGCTGGAGACACGCTGGCTCCGCGTCTGAATGCCTTTTGAATGTCTGCATACATTATAAACACCATGTGCTCTGTTTCATTCGCCTGATGCTTCAGATACCAAATAATACCCGACTTGTTAATGTCCAGGGGTGTGGAACCAGAGACCTTGCAGGAGATGGTGACATTGTCATTCAGCAACACAGTTTGATTCTTCCCTTCCATCTCCACCTTCAAGAAATCTGTGGAAATAAGAAAATTCAGTTATGGGAGAAACTTGAAACTTAGGCCTTATACTCTCAGACACTATCCTGTAACTAAAAACGAATGCCCTATCCTTCCCCAGTGGGGGGGGGAGGGGGGGCCGCATCAAGCAGCCGATCAATGAGTCTGCCTTCATTACTATTTCTCTTCTCCCTCGCCTCCTTCCTCTCTGAAATCAATAAGGATATATATATTTTTAAAAAGAGCATATTATGTAGCAGGCACTCTACCTGACCCTTTATAAAAAACAAAACACAAAAACAAATTCCTTTTTTTTGGAGCTGGGGGGACGGGGCGGGGAAGGAGGGAGGTATCTCAAGTACAGAGGCCCTTAGTTCATGGCCCCACCTTAATCCGCCTAAGATCCTCCAAGTTTGTTCTTCCTTTTCAATATTTTTTTGTTTGTTCTGGTCTCTTGCCATTTCTTAGAAACTTTCAAATCCGTTTAATTAATTCCTACAGTTCCACCAAGGAAAGCTTAGAGCTGAGGCCTGTTAAGGTACAGGTGGCTGAGGATGTCAGGCGGGACCCCCGAAGGAGATAAACATGCAGAGTCTGCCTAGCAACAACCATCCCGGCCCCCACCCCAACTCCCGCCACCTTACCTGCGGGGGACACGCAGCACCACTGAAGCAGAAGCAGCAGCGGCAGAAAGCCCCGCAATAAGCGGCTAGCCGCGGCCTCTGCGACAGCCACGACAGCCATGCTTGCACGCCGGAGGGGGCGGGGTCTTGCACTGGAAGCGGTCGCCAAGGTTCTTCCAAAAATAAAAATCCTAGGTCAGATGGGGGCAATCTGCTTGGTACTAGAGAGACTTCGAGTCTCCTAAATCTCTGCCCCGCCCCCGCAGCCTGACAGATTTACGGTCCGCCGACCAGCGTGGGCCATTGCGGTTAAACGTCACAGGGCTCGGGCGGGGAAAGCGGGGGGGGGGGGGGGGGGGGGGGGGGGGGGGGGGCCGCGTATCGCCCGTGCGCAGTCGGTTATCCGCTCTCAAAATAAATTTCAATCCTTGTACTGTTGCTATTTGGCTCTGCTGACTAATGAGTTTGTGTAGGCCACTGCCTAGGACTGATTCCTTCCCAGCAGCTGCCTCCGAAGTTACCCCGACCTCGCTAGGCGATCCCCTCCCCTTCCCGCCGGCCCTCCGGTTACCCGGCCTCAGTTCTCAACTTCGCCAGCTCCGGGAATCTAGCACTTCCGATCCCTTCTCCCCACCCCATCAGCCTCTGTTCTTAACCTGGAAAACTCCCGCACCCCCAAAGAGAGATCGCCCGCACACATACCTGCAGCTTCAGGGTCTCAGATTCTGGACACCTGATCCGGATCCACCCGGACTGGAAGCGTCTCATTCAAGTGATTGGAGGCCGGAAGGAGGCGGGCAGAGCTATGACCAATGAAGGAGGGACTTGCGCTCCTCGCCCTGGTCCTCAGCACCCTCAGCGGAGCTGAGCCCATCCACCCAGGAAGGCCTTTTCCCCTACCGTTTTCACCAAGGCTGGCAGGTTTTATAGACATGAATAAGAGTGCCCTAGTCAGTTTAGCTCAGTGAATAGAACATCAGCCTGCGGACTTAGAGGGCACATGCCCAGGTTGCGGGCTCAGTCGGCATGCAGGAGGCAGCCAATCAATGATTCCCTCTCATCATTGATGTTTCTATCTCTCTCTTCCTCTCTGAAATTATTAAAAATATATTTTTTAAAAAGAGGAAGTGCTCACTCACACGTCCTGAAGATCCAAGACCAGCATGAAGGCAATCACAAACAAACGTGGAAGGGGGCAGTGCGGGGGGGGGGGGGGGGGAGGGAGGGTTGGAAAGCAAAACCAGAAACACAGACCTAGAAGGAACTTTCCAAAAATTCATCTGGAATTTAAAAAAAGAGAGAGAGAGAGAGACCCCGAATAGCTACAGTAATCCTGAGAAAGAAAAAGTAGAATTTTTCTGGAAACTAAGAGGCATACCTACATTAACATCCAACCATTATTTATTCATGCATAAAAGCTTTTTAAGAAATTTCTCTAAGTTCTCCTTGTGATTTAACCACAGTCCACCATCTAAAAGAGTTTATCCTGGGAAAACCCGTCTTATCACAATTTCTGGGCATAGATACGATGATAAATAAAAAGATATTCCAGACCATTTTTGTTTGTTTGTTTTTTATTTATTTATTTTTATTTATTATTATTATTTTTTTTTTTATTTATTTTTTTTTTTTGCCTCAGAGCTGAATCCTGGATGATTTCTCCCTGCTCTGCTTCTCAGTTTCCAGAAAAGTAGTTTCCCCCTGCTGTCTCTTAGGGTCAGCCAATCTGAGTGATCTCTCCTTTGTAATCAGAAGCAAAGAGTTGCAGGGGAACCAGCCTAGGTGCGCGATGGGCGAGTCTGCATGCACTTACAAACAGACTGCTTTCCAACTCCTCTGTTCTCCCATCAGAATGGGTTGCTCCCTAGAGAACCCCACTAGTAGCAACCTTGGGAACCCCGTCCACTCTCTCGAATCACGCCAGACCTAACAGTGGGGGGCTTCTGTGGACGCAGATTTCCGGGGTCCCAGGGGCCGCCCAGTCGCCGCAGCTGTTGGGACACAGACGCCCCGCGTTATCCCCAGCAAAATCCAACCTTTCTGTGGAATCCACGTGTCCCCGCCGGTCGGACAGCCCCGATTCTTAACAATCTGTTCCATGTCCCTTGGCGTTTTAAAAGAGTCCTGCTTCTGGGGAAGATTACCCAAACCCAGAACTGGGTCTCGCCAGGCAGGATTCTCGCTGCAGCCACAGCCTTCTTTTTGCGCAGCTGGGGGGGGGGGGGGGGGGCGGGGGGGGGGGGGCAGCGGCTGCAGTTGCTGCTAGTGCCCCAGACCATTTTTTAATGTTTTCTACAATTTTAACCATGAAGATAGGAATTCTTCTCCATCCCTAACAAACCATAGCATTACTCTGTTGAATGACTTTTGTGGGGGTTTTAAAAGCTGAATATAAGCAGAACATTTCTAGATTGCTATACTTAATTTTGGGATCCATGATTTAAGAAAAAAAAAATCTGAAGTATATTTGAAGGACTATGCAATAATTAATTAAAAAGGTGTAAAATGAAAACTAGGAGTTTTAAAAAAGTGTTAATGTTAAGAGAAACAATGTAAAATTATGAGGTGTTATAGTGGATTAATTTACTTGAAAAGTTTAAACATGCATTCCTTCCTGTACTACAAAGGTAGGAAAGTTAAACACTGTTATTTCCCAGCCTCCCTTGCAGCTAGGGTTCCAGGCATGATTGGTCCGTTGATCAGATGCACGCACTTGAGACTTTCACTTGGAGCTGAGTTTGGCAACACAGAGCGTGGCAGCAGTGGTGTGATTCTGGAGCTGGCAACTGTTCGTGTCTTTCTAATCCACCAGGCAGCTTCCCAATGTGGCAGGCAGCTTCTTGATTATTCCAAAAGCAGCAGCTTCTTTGGCAGCCCTCTCTGGTGATGTGGTTCATAGAAGCTCAGCCTAGGTTCTGTTTCTTCAGCCCTCTCAAAATTTCTGGGAGCTATCTATTTCCCGTGATCATTTTGCACTCAGTTTAATAGCTAAAGAAGATTCTATGACCTACAACCATGAATCTTGACCTCTACAGAATCTGATAGCTACAAGTCAGGTGCAACAAATAAAAGGATCTTAAATATGAAGTGGGCTGAGTTGAAGAGGTAGAGCTTTAGGCCATGAGGCCTCATGCCAACTGAAGGGTTTCAAAGAAAGTGCTAGTATGTGGGGCTGCCTCTGCCTCTTTCAGCAAAATCCTACAAGACAAATACCACTCGGGCTAAGGCTTACAAGTCTGCAGAGATAGAAAAGTATATATAGCTTTGCTGAGGGAATTGTTCTTTGTCTACAAAAAAAAAAAAAAAAAAAAAAAAAAAAAGACTAAAGTCCCAAATCTGGAGCCTTGAAGAATTGAAAAAGTCAACTACTACCACACTCCATAAGTAAAGGTTCTGAGGAAGTTGTTAAAATTGCCTTAACGTTTTTCAAGAATCTTCCCTTAAGAATTTTCTGCCAAGTAATGGGAGCCATCCTGAGGAAAACGGTCAGATAAGTACTGTTGTCATCCCATCCAAGCCATTCATTTAAGAACCCAGAAGAAAGAAAGAACACAGAAACCAGCAAGTAAAGACGGGTCCTTTGGTAAAAACTATGCCTTGACAAGATCTTTCTGGTTACTCGTGATAATAATCGAAGAAAACAGACCAGAAACTTACTAAGTTTTTAGGGGATTGTTTTGTAAAAAAAAACACACACACACACACAAACACACTCTAAATAAATAAAAACTCTAAACTTGGCCTGCAATAGCCTGTAACTGTCTAAACAATCCCCAAGCCCCCAAATCCAAAATAATTAGGAAACAAAGTGCTAAGACTATCCAGCCTCCAAGAAGGGCATCCTTTCTGATGTGTATCTAAAAAGTAATGGACAATAAAGACTTCCTAAAGGGCACCATCGAGAGCCCCTGAGGACATTAGACAAGGGAGTTACTCCCAGAAAGGTGAGTCAGCACTTGCCTGATGGGAAAACCAAGGAATATGTTTATGGACAGAGCTGAGAGACCTTGCTATGGATCAGTGACTGACTGCTATGTTTCCCATTTTCCCCTTTTTCAAAAAGATTGATTTTATGCAGTTATCCTGTACCTATCCCACCTTTATGCATATGGTACCCATGGGGCAGACACCTTGATTTTTTAGTTTCTGGGTGGCCAGAGATACCATGGTCTTTGAGCTATATGCAATAATGGGTGGGATTTTGATGGTTTCCTTTTGAGGTGGCTGTTTTCCATGTTTTAGAAGAGTGTACATAGATATTTAGGTAGCCAACAAGGCTGTCTAGATTAAAATTTTAAAATAGTTGCTTACCAGTCCGGCCGGCATGGCTCAGTAGTTGAGCATCAACCTATGAACCAGGTGGTCACTGTTCAATTCCCAGTTAGGGCACTTGTCCCAGTTGCAGGCTCAATCCCCAGTGGGGGAAGTACAGGAGGAAGTTAATCAATGATTCTCTTTCATCATTGACGTTTCTATTTCTCTACCTCTCCTTTCTTCTTTGAAATCAATAAAAATGTATATATTTTTTAAAGTTGCTTAACAAACATTACCTCTTCCCAACTTCCTTAATTAAAGTATCCTAATATTTACTTACTTACTTATTTATTTACTTACTTATTTATTTTGGTTAATCCTCACCCAAGGATATTTTTCCATTGATGTTTAGGGAGAGTGGGAGAGAGAGGGAAAGACAGATGGAAACATCAATGTGATAGAAACACATGGATTGGTTGCCTCTTGTAGGAGCCCTGAACAGGACCCGGCCAGGGAGGAGACTGAAACTGAGGTACATGCCCTTGACTGGAATCGAACCCCGGACCCTTTGGTCCACAGGCTGACACTCTATCCACTGAGCCAAACCAGCTAGGACAAGTATCCTAACTTTTAGCTGGTAACATTGCCACAAGGACATTTCAGTTTCCCTAGCAGCTAGATGGCCATGTAACTCAGTTTGGGCCAATGAGATGTAAATTCAAATGTTGTGTGGTTCTCCAGGAAAACTGCTTCAAGGGAGCCGAGAAAGCTCCTCAAGTGGAAAAAGATCCTTTTCTTGCCTTTCCCAGCTGCCTCCAAAAGCAATCTTGGATAGTAAGGATGAAGAAGCTTGAGGATAAAAGCAATGTACTAAGGATAGTAGAGCAGAAAGATAGGAACCTGGACACCACCTGCCTATAGATTTATATAAAAGGGAAAAACTCCTATTTAATTTAAACCACTGTTATCTTTGGTTTTTGGTTATATGTAGCAAATCTGATCTTAAATGATAGAGTATAAAGCAAAAGTATGAGTGAAAAATGACCTCAAGTAGTATCAAAAAAACTATTCAGTAGAAGAATTTCTAGCAGTTAAGAGTGATGAAAGTAGGAAGAAGTTACTAAGAAACAGGGAATACCAGTACATGGTTTTCTTGGGAGGAGAATTGTGAGTATCAAAGAGACTTTCATTGAGAGAGGGGATGATAAGCACCCATAAAAGAATATCTATCTTCATGAGCAAGTGAGAGCAATTTATTTAAAAAGTAACAAACAGAGCTTTCTCACTTTTGTGTTTACTGAGAGTTTCATTAAATTATGGCCTAAGGCTACTCAATTAAATCACTAAAGGAGAACAAAGAAAAAAGAGGAGAGTATGAAAGTGACAGCAGATATTGAGGTTTTCTTCCTAGTTCTGGTAGGCTTCAATCTTTAAATATCTGTGTAAAAAAAAAAAAATAGTGTCCTTATTTAAAAAGTATCTTCCTTTATTCCATTTGTTTTAAAATATTTGAGTAGAGAAAAAGGAAGGGAAGTAAAAAGATGACACAGAGGTTGATTTTACAGTTTTCTTCCAAGTTCTGGTGGACTTCAGACTTCAAATGACTGTTCAAAGAAAAAAAAAATATATACTCTCATTTCAAAGGAATCTCCTATTATACATAATGTTTATTTTTAAATACACTTAGATAATAATTGATTACAATTAAAAACATATATTTGATACAGATGACATTCAGGATCTCAGAAACACACACAGGGGATCATTCAAAAAGACACTATAGCAGATGCCAAAAACCAAAGTGAAATCTGGGTGACCTCTTGTCTTCACATTTTGGGCAATGAGGTAGCATGCTGGCTTTTCTGTGTGTATTTGTATAAAGAATAAGGGCCTGCGATATAAATCTTCCATATAAGATGGATCAGACATGCCAAGGTATGAACATCAATTCTGCGCAACCTTTAGTCCAGAACAGCTTAGGAAACTGAAAGATACATTTGCCGTACCCACATTGGGTTACCATAGCAGAACTTACTTCAGCTACCCTACTTGATGGATCAGTAATAAAGATATGGTTCAAGAACCAGCACAGCAGCCCAAGCTGGTTTGGCTCAGTGGATAGAGCATTGGACTGAGGACTGAAGGGTTTCAGGTTCAACTCTGGTCAAGGGCACATGCCCAGATTGCGGGCTCATCTCCAGTGGGGAGCAAGTAGGAGGCAGCCTATCAATGATCCTCTCCCATCATTGATATTTCTATCTCTCCCTCTCCCTTCCTCTCTGAAATCAATAAAATATATTTAAAAAAAAGAAAAAAAGAAAAAAAGAAAAAAGAATTAGCACAGCAAAAAGGAAGAAGCAATAACTACAAACTTGCCAAGTCTGGCATTAGAAGCACCGAACCAAATAATTTCAGCGATGGAGGCAGAAACTGCCTTACCCATTAGTTCACAAACCACCATGAGTACAGCATTGTGAATGCCTATGACCGGAACTACCTAAGACTTCTGGTGTCCAGCACTCTGGAGGGGTTTTTCTGGTGGCGGTACAAGTGGTGGGACCTCCTAGTCCACAATCTTGCCGACATCATGCTCTTAAATGTTTAAACAGACCAGTTATGTATCTTTTTCTATAAGAAGAAATCCCTCTACCTTTTATCATCGCCTGAAAGTTCCATCCTCTTAGTCTCCTGGTCAAGGACAGTCATCGGTGCCTCTAGAGGAATCAAAAGCCAACTAGTTTTCCTTGGTCCTAGCCTGTCCCAAGTTAGCTGAGCACCATGAAAGCTCTCCAACTAAAGTTAAAACGACGTAAAATTCCTGTCCCGAAAGAACCATCTTTATTTCTTACACACACACACACACACACACACACACACACACACACACACACACACACACATATACATACACACACACACACATTTAAGAGCATGATGTCAGCAAGGAGGTCCCAGCACTTGTACACCACCAGAAAAACGATGGTTACTGATGAAAATAGCTCTGAGAGAGCTCTGGAGTGCACACAGGAGCTACAGCAGCCCAGTGGCACACAGAAGTCAAAGGTGGCCACATAAACAAGCACAGGCAGCATTTGACCTTTGCCAACCTATCCCTCTATCCCTCAGTCCTGCAGAGCTTGCTGCCCAAAGGGGTGCCCTCAGCTGTGACCTCTCCCTTTGGAGGAAAAGGAGACCCCAGCAGTTTTCATCACCAAGGATCCAAGCAGCCCTCGTGACTGTCAGGGACACTTAAGTTTTTTTTTTTTTTTTTTTTTAATATATTTTTATTGATTCCAGAGATGAAGGGAAAAGGGGAGAGAGATTAAAAACATAAACGATGAGAGAGAATCCTTGATCGGCTGCCTCCTGCATGCCCCGATCTGGAGATGAGCCCGCAACCCGTCGAACCCAGGACCCTTCAGTCCGCAGGCCGAAGCTGTATCCCCTGAGCCAAACCCAACACCTAACGTTGCCACTAAGGACTCCCTCAGTCTTTGCCTATGCCAACCTCATCTGATGGAGCTGCCCAGAATCCATGCTACTGAGCCCCCTAAAGAAAGAGCCACTGCTGGGACCCCAACCACAGTGGCCCTGGCCCAGCATATGAACACCCACACCCTCAGTGGTTAGATGTAAATAAAATGGACTATGATGGAGATTGAACAAATGTTTTAATACAGTTCTATCCAAAATGGTGCATGCCAAAAGAACCCCCTAATGACTACCCAGGATTAAAGAGCCCCAAACGGGTCTGCCTTATTTATCCTTGTTTGGAACATTTGAAAGCCAAGATTGAAAGATTATAATGAGAAATCTGACTTGCAATTGCTTTGAGCAATGGTGAAGGAGATGAATCAAAATGAAGGCTGACATAGCCCATGGACATGGGCAATAGGATAGTGCAGACCTTGAGGGTGGGTAGTGGCTGGGAGAATGAAGGAAAGTGGAGAAATGGGAGATATCTGTAATACTATCAACAATAAAAAAAATATTTAAAAAGAAAGAAAGAAAGAAAGAAAGAAAGAAAGAAAGAAAGAAAGAAAGAAAGAAAGAAAGAAAGGAAGGAAGGAAGAAAGAAAGGAAGGAAGAAAAAAAGAAAGGAAGAAAAAAAGAAAGAAAGATGAAAGCTGATAAAGGAACCAGGGTTCTTTGACTCAACCACTCATTGGGGATTCAAAGTCTTTACACCAGAGTGGGTAAAATGGTTAGGAGGTAGAGAAGAGAAATTTCTGGACTCATTGACATGGGAGTTCCACAAACTGTAGACCAAAATCCACTGGTGAAGCACTGGTGTGAACTACAATTAGATAGAGAGAACATAAAGGTTCTTCTCCCAAAGAACTGGTGGGATTATGAGCCTTGGAATGTTTAGAGAGATTTATGCAAATAACTTCTGTCTTCTTTACCTGAATGTTTTATGGGAATAGATACTCTGGCTGGGCAACGCTTACTCTACCAAATGTTGTAAAACCAAAACTGTCAGAATGGAGACTATAGTTAAGAAAAAAAATTAAAATTAAAAACATGTTCTCTGATAATATCAATAAATGATTAGAAAGAATGATAATGTTGAAACAAATCACTTCATCATAAATATGCCTATCAAATTATTTAGCTTTTGAAATATACAGATGCATAAAAACTTTATAGGCCTTCTATAATGTAAGGTGCTGTAGTTCCACAAATATATAGAAAATAGCAAAGATAATAATAATTTGACATTATACTTGCAATAAATGTGGATTTCAATTTATTCCCTTAAGCAAATAAGCAAACAAAATTACATACGTGGCTCGAACTTTGATTCTCCACCAGGCCCTGATGGAGAAATTTCTTGTAATTTTTTTTGTTCCATCTGCTGTATGACCTGGGGAATGAAAAGTAATGTTTTAAAAGGAAGTAGTACTTGATTTTTCTCTGGTATGTGTGACCTTGAACAAATCACAACTAACTGAAAATTATTTTCCAAGATGAAATAGTCAAATTCTAAAATTTAGATTAAGCAGTTTTAAAAATACCAACACCTAAAATACTGTAGCTAATAGTACATTGAAATATTACTACAACACAGGCTTTAGAAAAGCGCCTAAAATCCTTTCTAATGCCACAATCCTTCCACAAAATACCACCTGATTATATTCCAGCTTCTGAGCCTCAAGTTGGTCATGCTGACGTTGTAGTTCTTCTTTTTGTTTCTGAAGCTCATCTGCTTTCTTCTTAAGTTCATTTTCTTGTAAGGTGATCATATTTTCATATTCTTTCAGTTCTTCCTCTGTGAAAAACTGTTGCTGATCTAATGTCTAAAGAAAAAATAAATGAAGAAAGAATAATCTTAGAAATGCAATAGTAAGGTCTGATTCAGCTATAAAATTGTATGATTAGCAAAGTGTAATAGAATATAGTATTATACCTTTGGGTTAAAAAAAGAAAGAGAATTAAGAAAATACATTTTTGTGTACTCTGAATAAAAGGAACACTTAAAGACTAATGAGGTTGTTTATCTACAGAACGAGGGAGAAACTGGGTGGAAAGGAAATGAAAGCAAGGAAATCATACTCCTCTGAATACACATTTTTGTAAAGAATTGCTTTCCTGAAATATTCAATGTTTTACATACTCAAAAAACAAAAAACAAAATCACAAAAACAACAACAACCAAATACCTAAAATCCACAAGGACAGAAAAATCCCCCAAATTGATTAGAAACAGAAACAAATAAATAATACTTTTAATTTAACTGAATAAAATAACTGACAGAAGGGAGAAGGGAAAAAAAGAACTAACCCAAGAAACTTCAGAACACAGTATCTGGACTACATACACTCAGGTTAAAAACAACCCAAAAATCTAAGATCTTAGATTTTAGATTTGTTTTGTCTTGTTTTGCAGAGGCATGGATTAGCAATGCTAACATGCTTTGAATATGGGAGGACTGAGCAAATATGTGGAAAACGATGTGGAAAATGGGAGCCAGGTTTTGTATGAAATACAGAAAAAGAAAAAGATTAAATGTATTGGAATTCAAGGTGTATTAAAATTGAAGAGATAGTGTGAATTCATGAGTTGTAATATATATTGGCAGTGAAATATATAAAATGAATATAAATGTGTGTAGTGCTTCTATGTATGCATGTAAAAGTATGTGTGTATATGTACTAATATATATTCATAATATAAATAAATAAAAATGTATTTAAATTTTTTTTAATTCCCAGCTCTATTATCTGACCAGGACTTGCTTTAAAAGCAAGGACAATTCAGTAGCAAGTAGTCAATTCAGTGCCCAGCTCCTGGTCTGTACTATTGATCTCCACTGAAAAACAAAGAACTGAAAAGTGGCTGATTTCAGAGGTGGGACAGAGAAGGAACATCTTATGCTAAAAAATAAAATAAAAAAGTCCTCAAAGAATGAGGGGAACATACCAGAAGGCCACAAAAACCTGTTTGAGGAAACTCCCATTAGCCAAGAATGGAAATAATAGGAAGGAAACAGGTTTACTGAATAAAACTGGAATCCACGAGTCTACAGAGAACAGTGAGAGAAGAGGAAAAGGGCAGCTTTTCCTTACAATACAAAGACAAAATATAAATGTAGAAGGAATGGTGATTAGAAAATCACCATTTGTCAACAGTCAGGTAGCAAATGATGCTGACCAGAATGATGATAAGATGGAACTTGTAGAGAAGTCTCAAAGTATATCCTTAAAAATACATTTTTTAAATCACTCATTTTTTATTAGTGTAAATATAAATTAGTGCAATTCTTTCAATATTCTTTTTTTAAAATATATTTTATTGATTTTTCACAGAGAGGAAGAGAGAGGGATAGAGAGTTAGAAACATCAATGAGAGAGAATCATCAATTAGCTGCCTTTTGCACACCCCCTACTGGGGATGTGCCCACAACCAAGGTACATGCCCTTGACCAGAATCGAACCTGGGACCCTTCAGTCCACAGAACGATGCTCTATCCACTGAGCCAAACCGGTTTCGGCTCAATATTCTTTATAAAATATATCAATAGTTTTAAAAATAGTCTCTTGACCTTGATGCTACATTGAGAATCTACTTTATAACATAGTCCTTGACACATTAAAAGCTTTATATAAAAATGTGTTGATAGCAGCACTTTTTATTTTTTTTTTTCTGTAATGATCTTTTTTTTTTTTTAATTAATCTTTATTGTTCATATTATTACAAAGGTTCCTCATTTCTTCCCCCCTCCACCAGGTTCCCACCCCACCCTCTGTCCCCTCCCCATCCCCCATTGTCCTCATCCATAGGTGCAGTTTATGTTCAGTCTCTTCTTCCCTCAATTTCCCCAATAGTAAATCCCTTTTCAGATAGTAAATCAGTTACTTAGCATTTTCTCATATCAATAATACCTCCACATGCCCAATGATACACTTCACACAAAAGAGATAGTAAATCAGTTACTTAGCATTTTCTCATATCAATAATACCTCCACATGCCCAATGATACACTTCACACAAAAGAGATAGTAAATCAGTTACTTAGCATTTTCTCATATCAATAATACCTCCATATGCCCAATGATACACTTCACACAAAAGACATTTCCCAGTAGATCCACTAGCTTCATGCAGGCCCCACCCAAGGCACTCACAAATCAACACCCCAGTCCTAAACTAACTCAACACATCCAGATCTAAGCCTTCATCACTTGATTCAGCAGACCCTCAAGTTCCCACGAAAGTTTCCAGCCATGTCTGAGAAGCAGCCGTGGGGCAGGGGCAGGGGCAGGCAAGGAGCGAGCTGTTCTGGGCCTGGTTGCTCAGGGCCTGGCCTCTGTTGCTCTGGTTCATTCCACAACCAGCTGCTCCGGGTCTGGTCACTGCCGCTCCCGACCTAGTTGCTCTGGACTTGGCTGCTGCTGCTCCGGGCCTGGCCGCTCCCAGCCTGGCAGCCGCTGCTCCGGGCCTGGCCGCACCCTAGCAGCACTTTTTAAAATAACAATAAGGAGATCCAAGATGGCAGCTTAGGTAAACACACCTAAACTGCTGCCAGGCACAACAATTTCAAAACTACAACTGAAAGACAAAATGTCTATCACCCAGAACCACAGGAAAACTGGCTGAGAGGAAGCTCTACAACTAGACTGAAAGAGAAAAGAGCATTCAGGCACAAGCGCTGAAAAACTGAGGTATGGGGGTGGGGGGCCGGGGAGAACGCGCACGTTGCTTTCTTCAACCCGAAGAGAGACAAGCTCCCAATCTCTCTGAAATCCACTTTCTGGAAAGAAGCTGGGCTGTCTGCCATTGGGTTAGAAAGTGAGGGTGGCTTGCTTTCAGAACTGCACACAAGAATAATTGTTTGCTGTGCTGGAGTGTGAGATGTAGGGACAGGGTCAGAAAGGTAGAGAGGGCTCACTGCCAGCTATCACTGTTTGCCAGGCCCTAGCCTAATGACGTCCTGAGGCTCTGCCCAGCACAATCTACAAACACACCCAAGCTTCAAGAAGCAGCTTTTGCATATGAATGGCCTTCTCTATTGCAGTTTAACCTAGCAAACTTGCAACCTGGTGCAGACAGCTCCAAAGCCTCCAAACTCCAAGCAGGAAGGAGAGGACTGTGATTCTCGCTGCAGCTTCTGCCGGTTGGCCTCAGACAATAGCTGAACTGCACCCCATTTGAGATCCAGAAGCCAATGTATCTAATGGTCAGTGTGAGATACCAGATTTCAACTCCTCATATCCATAAGTGACACATTTGGGAGGCGGACTCAATGAGCACCAAACCCCCACTGAAACAAGGCCTACACCATAAGCATGTCTCCAGTGCAGCAGTTCTTCCATTATAGACACAGCGGGTCCTCATAGCCAATTGGCCTGGAGGTCAATTCTTCCCAGTGTACCAACAGCAATCAAGGCTTACCCACACCAAGACTTTGCACTCAGCTCACAAAGGGGTGTACCAAGAGCAACCACCTCAGGTGATTGGGGAAGCTGAGCTACTGGCCCCTATAGGTCACCTACCACACAAAGCCACTCCATCAACACAGGAAGGCAACCAAAATGTGGAGACACAGAAGCATGTCATGAATGGGAGAGATTGAGGAAAGCAAACTACTGGACGACACAGAGTCCAGAATCACATTTATAAGGTTACTCAAGAATCTTCTAAAAACTGCTGAGAAACTTGAAGAGACCTTCAAGGACCTTAATGAGAATACAAAAAAAAAAAAAAAAAAAAAAAAGGAAAAGGATGAGTCAGAAATTAAGCATACACTTTCTGAAATAAAGAATATATAGAAACTTAACTATAGATCAACATACCCCAAGAGTCAAACCAAAGATCTGGAATATGAGGAAACAAAAAATACCCAACCAGAGAGGCAGAATGAAAGAAGAATCTAAAAGTGTGAGGATATTGTAAGGAGCTTCTGGTATGGCTTTAAGCGTACCAACATCTGGATTTTTGGGGTGCCAGAAAAAGAGAGAGATCAGGATATTGAAGGCTTACTAAAAGAAATAATGACAGAAAACTTTCCCTACCTGATGAAAGAAATAGACTTACAAGTCCAGGAAGCACAAAGAACCCTAAACAAGAGGAATCCAAAGAGGACCACACTAAGACACATCATAATTAAAATGCCAAGGGCAAAAGACAAAGAGAGAATCTTACAAGCAGCAAGAGAAAAACAGTTAGTTACCTACAAGTGAGTACCCATACGACTGTCAGTTGATTTCTCAACAGAAACTATGCAGTCCAGAAGAGAGTGACAAGAAATATTCAAAGTGATGAACAGCAAGAACCTACAACCAAGATTATGCTACCCAGCAAAGCTATCATTCAGAATTGAAGGTCAGATAAAGAGCTTCACAGACAAGAAAAAGCTAAAGGAGTTCATCACCACCAAATCAAGATTACATGAAATGCTGTAGAGTATCTTTAAGAAGAGGAAGAAGAAAAAGGTAAAGGTAAATACTATGAACAACAAAAAGATATCAAATACATACCTACGAACAAGTGAATCTAAAAATCAAGTGAATAAAAAATCTGAAAAACAGAAAGGACTAGTGAATATAATAGAATCAGGGACATAGAAAGGGAGTGGACTGACAATTCTCAGGGGGAAGCGGTGTGAGGGGTGTGGGAAGAGATTGGACAAAAATCTTACACCTATGATGAAGACAGTGGCAAGGGGTAAGGGCATGGGGTGGGGTGGAGAATCAGGTGGAGGGGAGTTATGGGGAGGGGTGGGGGGGGAAGAGGAACACCTGTAATAATCTGAACAAAAAGATTTATTATATTTTTTAAAGATAAAATAAAATAACAACAAAAGACTGAAGATAATCTGAATGTCTAATCCTGAGAAAATAATTAAGCACCCATAGGCACAAAAATAATGCTTACAGAATGTATTTGGAAAGATTTATAATGTAGAATGATGCTATTTTTTAAAATCTGACTCAAGATTCTGGCAATAGCACTGGTTTTATAAGATATATTTTTAGATTATAAAAGGTAAAATTGTAACTTTACAGTGAAACACCTGGTAGAATTCATCTTAACCAAATAATCAAAGTTAATATTGCCAGTTAAGGAATAATCAGGACCATATACCTCCTGATACCATGTTCTTAGTGAGCATCATTTCAGCTATATTCCTGTCAAAAGTAGGAATCATAAGGAAACAGCCCCTCAAACTGATGGCTGGTCTACAAAATAGCTGGTCTACAATCTTTTGAAATATCAATGCCATGAAACACAATGGCTCAGGAACTATCTCAGATTAACAGAGACTAGAAAGACATTGCAACTAAATCCAATGCATTATCTTGTGTTTTCTTTAGCTATAAAAGACAATATTGGGAAAATTGACAAAAATCTAAATCAAGTCTACCTGATTAGAAAGGTAGGGAACCTTCTTTCTGCCAAGGGCCATTTGGATATTTATAACATCATTCTCAGGCCATATACAAAATTGCCAGCTTAACAATTAGCCTGCTATCTTTGGTCAAATATTTAATAACTCACCACTAATGCCTTGGCAGGGCCAGACCAAATGATCTCTGGGCCATATACAGCCCACAGGCCAGACATTCCCCGTCCCTGGTTGAGAGTATTGTGAGTGGAGGGGGGGAGGTTGATAATTTTACTTGATTATATGAGATAAATCTTTTTTTCCCCAAAAAATACACATTTGAGTATGTAAGGTTAAAGCAGTATCATGTGCAACTTACTCTCAAAAATAATTAATATATGTTATATATAGATACACATATACACAGATTTAAAAATAGAGGGAGAGAAGTAAATGTAAAATAGGAAATCTTGGCAAAGAGAATTCAGGAATTCTTATTCTATTCTTACACTTTTTTGTAAATCTGAAACTGTCAAAATAAAAAAAAAAGTACATATTATCTATTGATCTGAATCACCAGAAACATTAAATAGATTGCATGTTCAAATAATTTTAGAATTTTTCTTCGCTAAAGTCCAGAAATATTTCAAATGATAGACAAAACTTATAACAAAAATCAGCTGGCCCCAACCATATGGTTCAGGGGTTGAGCCTCAAACTATGAACCAGCAGGTTGCCGGTTCAATTCCTGGTCAGGCACATGCCCCAGTTGAGGGCCCAATCCCTAGTAAGGGGCATGCAGGAGGCAATGAATCGATGTTTCTCATCATTGATGTTTTTTTCTCTCTATCCCTTTCCCTTCCTCTCTAAAAATCAATAAAACTTTTTTTTTTTTTTAAAGCAACTGATTTCTTTAATCTCAAACTAAAATGACCAACTGTCCCAATTTGCCTGGGACTTTCCTGATTTTAGCACTAAAAGTTCCATATCCTGAGAACACATCCTGGAAACTCTTCAATCCCAGGTAAGCCAGCACAGCTATCTCAAATGATTTTCTGGATAATTAAAATCTAATGGAAATGATAATATTTTTCTTTTCTATAAGAAAAAAGACAATGTTCTTTCTTCAACCTAGTTTAGTTGGTGCTTCTCAACCACTCTTGTAAGATGCGTATGCACTCAATTTTACACAGGCAGCTTGGATATAAATTGGAATACCTTTCTGGAGCAATTTGACAGATACATTTAGAAACTAAAAAAAAATAATAATAAATAAAAAATAAAATAAAATAAAAAGTTTATAAACTTTGAGAATAGTTCTATTCCTAGGAATTCATCTCAGGAAAATCACAAATGCCACAAATGTATGAACAAATGGATAGTTATAATAGTGTTATTTATTACAGTAAAAAAAAAAAAAAAAGTGGGATGCATCCAGAATGTCTAAACTTGGAGAAATGATTATATAAATGATGCTAGAACCACCCAACATGCATGTTAAGGAGTCATTATTTTAAATCATATATTTGAGCAATAACACTGAAAAATGTTCAAAAAATATTGATAAATTTTAAAAAAAACAGAATTTCATAAACTCATCGTCATCTATACAATGTAAAACCATTTTAAATATATATATATATATATATATCTATGAATGTATGTGTATATGTAAAATAAAAATGGGATCATACACTATACACGCTATGCTATAGATATATATACTAAATATATAAGCAATTTCTAAATTGGCGTAACACAATACATAATTTTAGTGTCTACCTCTAAGTGGTAGGATTATAGGTAACTTCTTTTTTTTAAATATATTTTATTGATTTTTCACAGAGAGGAAGGGAGAGAGAGAGTTAGAAACATCTATGAGAGAGATACATTGACCAGCTGCCTCCTGCACACCCCCAACCGGGTGTACATGCCTTTGACTGGAATCGAACCTGGGACCCCTCGGTCCGCAGGCCGATGCTCTATCCACTGAGCCAAACCGGTTTTGGTGGATTATATTATAGATAACTTCTAATTTATCCTTTAAATGTATTTATATTTCTACTTTTCAAGAATGAACATTATTTTATACTTTTTAAAAGACTTCTAATTATAATATGCAATGTGATTACAAACAAGAGATCAATTACCATAAGCTTTCTAAGAAATCAAGTTCCTTATTTAAAAGTGACATTTTATATGAAAAGCCAAAATAGTAAGACTATACATGCAAACATAATGGGGAATAAAAGTTAAAAGTAGAATAGACTGATGTGGAATTTCTTGAATCATACATCCCATTTCAAATAGGTTCTATTACCTACCTCCCAGCTATCAGGCTCCAAGAATTCCTTTTTTTCTGTAGCTTTCAAAAACTCTTCTAGAGTCACCAATCGGTCTTTGTTAGAATCAACCTGATTAAAGAAAAATGTAGTAAAATCAAATAACTATTTCTCATATTACGTAGACACTAGAAACTGTCTTCCAATAAATGCTACTACATAAACATACATCAGTTAGAGCTAGCCTAACATCCATAAACACTGAGAGGGAAAAAAACCAAAATAGAACACTAAACATTATATCAAAATCAGAAAATAGATATTTTCCTCTTCTATATTATTCAAATTTAGAAGTGAAATATTTATATCCTTGGTACCCCCAAAATCACCCAGTTTAAGAGTTTAAGTTGCTCTAACTGGTTAGGCCACCACACTATGTATAATCCCTCCTGAAGCCAAGTATTTAGGCAAGAAAAATAACCTTTCCCGTAAGAGAATTGCTTAGCCAAGAGTAATGGAGTGAAGTTAAAATGCTCTCAACAGTTATTCTTTTTTTTTTTTAATACATGTTTCTTTTTTCTTTTTTTAAAATATATTTTATTGATTTTGTACAGAGAGGAAGGGAGAGAGATAGAGAGCTAGAAACATTGATGAGAGTCATCGAACAGCTGCCTCTTGCACACCTCCTACTGGGATGTGCCTGCAACCAAGCAAGGTACATGCCCTTGACTGGAATTGAACCCGGGTCCCTTCAGTCTCCAAGCCGACGCGCTATCCATTGAGCCAAACCGGTTTCGGCTCAACAGTTATTCTTAAAAACAAACAACCTAATAAATTAAAACGAAACCTCCAAATCTTCCAATGGCTCTTGTAAACTATAGCAAATTCAGTTACAAAAGCAATAACCAAAGGAATTTATTTGATACCTGGGATGCCAGCAGACAACAGAAATCCCAGTTCATCAATATCAGGTGAAAATCATTACTGAAGCAAAACAATGGGCTTTAGATACCCTGCTTATGAAGTCTCCATTGGAGTTTTCAGCTTAGTAATGTGAACAAGAAATGAATATGTGTTGTTATCAACCACTTGGGTATTAGGTTTTTGGATTTTCTTAGCAAAAACTAAAATAGCCATTTAAAATATCAAATATTAGACTACATTATTTTTTTACTTCCAAAAAGATGTTTTAATAGCTGATATGCAGTGGCATCTTATCCTTTTAAAATATTTTAAAAGAGTTACAAAATAACTTTACTCACAGTAAGGGAATACTGAATATTCAGGATCAAAAATGCAAAGTCCAATTAAATATCTAGTCTGTGTATTTGTCTTCCGTTTTGTTGTGAGATTTATTGTAACAACTTGAATAATTCATAGAAGTACTGTAAGATATCTTAAACTTTTAAAACATACCTCATTCATTACATGTTCCCTCATTCTAAGCCTTTCTTCCTCCATTTCTACCATATCATCCTCTTCATTTTTGGGGTCATATACTTTCTCCAACTAAAAAGAAAAAATTTAAACCAACATAAAAGGAAGAAAGATAATAAAAAGGAAAAAAAAGAGATAAATAACCAAATACTTAATGAACTAATTTACCTCTTTAGTAAATAGGGCTTCTAATTCTTGTTCATCAAGGAAGCCATCATTATTGACATCTAAAGTTCCCAATGCAAAAAATTGATTTTAATACCTTAGAAAATAATTGAAATACAACTATTTACAAATGGTTTGCAAAAGCAGTACTGACATGAAGTACCAATATGATACAGAAAGAGATTTCTTCTTTTTTATGAAGCCTCGGATGTGTCCAACTGATAAAAAAAAATCAATTTATAATTCATCATAGTTTTTAGGGAAATATATCAATTTTTCCAAAAATATAAAGCAATGTGCTATGAGTAAAAGTAAATTTTAATATGATCACATAGAACTTGTTAGATATAATCTACCTAATCACAGAAATATCGATACCTTCATTTTACAGAGAAACTTGAAATAAGTCATATAACGATTTACCAGTAAAAGCAGATTTAAAGACACAGCTACTGGCTTAAAATACTTTATATTAAGTATCAGCAATAAAGACTATTATCTTACACTAGAGCAACACCCTAAACATTTATTCTCAATAGGACTCAATAGTAGACTTTGGCAGAAATAGTAAGAGTAAAGCAACTATAATTTTTCAAACAGCAGTCATAAATATTATTTGTATCAAATATGTTACCATGCAATTTGAAAAATGTCTTGGGGTCAAAGTCATTAGGATCCAATCCATCAGCTTCTTCCCATACCTCTTTTAGTTGATCTTTGCTTCCCTGTGAATCAATTAAAAAAACACATTTGGATGGTGAGCACATGGTACAATATACAGATTTTGTAACATAGAAGCCCACACCTGAAACTTATATGTTCATTTTGACCAATGTAACCTCAGTAAACATATATATATATAATTGATTTTTTTACAGAGAGGAAGAGAGAGGGATAGAGAGCTAGAAACATCGATCTGCTGCCTCCTGCACACCTCCTACTGGGGATGTGCCCACAACCAAGATACATGCTCTTGACCAGAATCGACCCTGGGACCTTTCATTCCACAGGCCGACGCTCTATCCACTGAGCCAAACCAGTTTTGGCTCAATAAACTTTTTAAAAAAACACTAAAAACAAAATCTAATCTATGTGTATATATGCAAATTAAAATATAAATATAAAGAACTTTGCAGAATTAAGAATTAATATCTAAGTACAATAAAAATCTACTATCTGATTCAAGGAAGTATTTTCATCTAATTATGGTTTCATAAAGTCATAATCCTTACTGGATGATTAACTTTGGGATGATTTTCATGCTTTTTCTTCATTTCTTCAAATTTAGATTCTTCTTCTTTTCTCTTTTCTTCATTCAGTGTTTTTAAATATTCTCTCCTTTCATGTTCCTTCATCATTTCATACTTTTTAAATTCTTCATGTCGAGTCTTATCATAGTTTTCCAGATCACTTGTAGCCTATAATGTAATATTTAAATAAAAAAAGTGTTTGAAAAAATATAAAGTCATTCTTGTATATAGCATATTTTCTAATAGAAGATAGTATATAAGGGCCAAAAAATAATAATAATTAATAATACAGAACTCCTCTTTCTAAATTCTACCATTTTATTTCAGTTTTGTTGTTTGTTTGGTTTTTTTTACCAGAAATGCAGGCATTCAAAGAAACTGAAAGTTTAGTAAGTTCATCATTAGTAATATATAAATTGATTTTTAAAAGAAGAAGAAAAAAAGGACTATATCAAATCTGTACAGTAGAAAACTAGATTAGTTTCTAAATACTTAACTCAATCTCATAACATCCAGGTAAGAACATTTAGTTTGTAACTTCGTACAGTACAATATGAGAGGAAAGCAAATTTTTATCTAAAATCCCTGAGCCCAGATGAGTTCCAGAATATTCTATCAACTAATATTTGACAAGGAAGCCAAGAATACTCAATGAGCCGAAACCGGTTTGGCTCAGTGGTAGAGCGTTGGTCTGCAGATTGAAAGGTCCCAGGTTCGATTCCTGTCAAAGGCATGTACACTGGTTGTGGGCACATCCCCGGTTGGGGGTGTGCAGGAGGCAGCTGGTCGATGTTTCTCTCTCATTGATGTTTCTAGCTCTCTATCTCTCTTCCTTCTTCTCTGTAAAAAATCAATAAAATATATATTTTTTAAAAAGAATACTCAATGGAAAAATGATTGTCTCTTCAATAAACTGTGCTGGGAAAATTGGATATTCACATGCAAGAGCATGAAACTAAAACCTTTACAACACTCACGAAAATTAATTCTAAGTGGATTCCAGACTTAAATGTAAGACCTGAAATTATAAAATTCCTAGAAGAAAACAGGGAAAGGCTTCTTGACATGGGTCTTGGTAATGTTTTTTTTTTTTTTTTTTTTAATATGACACCTAAAGCATAAGCAACGAAATAAAAAACAAGTGGGATGACATCAAACTAGAAAGCTTCTGCACAACAAAGGGAACAGTCAACAAAATGAAAGACAACATATGAAATAGGAGAAGATATTTACAAATCATGTATCTGACAAGGGGTTAATATACAAAATACATAAAGAATTCTTAAACTCAATGGCAAAAACCACACAAATAATCCAATTTTAAAATAGGCAAAGGACATGAATAGACATTTTTCCAAAGGAGATATTCGAATGGCCAACAGTACACTAAAAGGTATTCAACATCACTAATCATCAGGGGAATGCAAATCAAAACCACAATGAGACAGTACCTCATATCTTTCAGAATGGCTATCATAAAAAAGACAAGAGATAAATGCTAGCAAGGATGTGGAGAAAAGGGAACCCTCATGCTGTTGGTAGGATTGTGAATTAATGTAGTCACTATGGAAAACAGTAAGGAGGTTCCCAAAAGAATTAAAAATAGAACTACCATATAATACAACAGTTCCACTTCTGGGTGTATATCCAAAGGAAACAAAATCACTATGGCAAACAGATATCTGCGCCTTACGTTCACTGCAGCATTATTTACAATAACCAAGAGATGGAAGCAGTCTATCATTTTGGCCATAGAAAAAAAGGAAATCCTACCATCTGTGACAACATGGATGGACCTTGAGGGCCTTATGATAACTGAAATAAGTCAGATAAAAACAAATATTGTATGATCTCACTTATATGTGGAATCTTAAACTAATTGCATAGAAAAAGAAATCAGATTTATGGTTACCAGAGACAGAGGGGTAGGAGAATAGGTTGAAGGTGGTCAATGGGTACAAACTTCTAGTTATAAGATGAATAAGTCCTAGAACATAATGTACAATATGATGACTATAGTTAACAGTGGTGTATGGTATATTTGAAAGGTGTTAAGAGAGTAAGTCCTAAAAGCTCTCAATACATGAAAAAAAAAACAAAAACATTTTTTACAATGATATAAGGTGATGGATGTTAACTAAACTTATTTTGGCAATCATTTTACAATGTCAAGTCATTATACTGTATACTTAAACAGTGTTATATTTCAATTGTATCTCAATAATTGGAAGAAAAAATTTAAGTATTTTCTAGATTTTTTTAGAAAAGGAATATGGCACATATGCCACATTCTGGAACATCCATGCAGAGTCTATAATCAAACAGAATAGTACTCCTTTAGCAAAATCTATATGTACTCAAACTAAGTATACTAAATAAAAAATATAAATAGCCCTTCTATAACTCAAGTCATGTTTCAGTTTTTACATGTGTTTTGTTTTTGTTTTTTAGATTCTGCAATTGTTGGTAAGGGATTACAGACCTATATGTACAAATTATTATCTCCTAGAGGCCTGGAGCATGAATTCATGCACAGGTGCGGTTCCTCAGCCTCACCTGTGATCAGAGCTGGCCAGCCCAGGGAAAGAACCATGGGAGGTTGGCTATGGGAGCACACTGGCTACCAAGGGGCAGCTCCTTCAATTAGTGTCTGGCCCCTGGTGGTCAGTGCACATCATAGCAACCAGTCAACAGGTCATTCGGTTAACCAGTCATAATGGTCACTTAGGCTTTTCTATATATAGATACTAATAAAGGTTAAGCCATTTCCCCTTAAAGATATTCTAGAGAGTAATATATAAAAGTTATATTATCACTTCATTGAAACCATTTTATACATTTACTTACAAAACCTCAAAGGCACAATAAAGACATTATTTTTTTAGAATTATTCTTACTGCTTTGATTAGCATATCTAAATCTGTAGATTCAAACTTGTCAGGATTCATGTGGTTTAGGTGATCAAATTGTTTTAGAAGAGCATGGTAGTCTATGCCTGTATCTGGAAAAAAAGATGAGAAAACTATAAGTGATAAATTACTAGAAGCTAAAAACATTAATATAAGTAATATATAAGAATAAGCATTCATATTTATTCTTGGTGGATATTTTTAAACAAAATTCAAAGTTTTAGATTAAGGGTTCATATACTTTTAAAATATTGCATAATTTGTTATTCTGGAAAAAGATAATGTCCTTGAATCTAGAATGGAACACATTTAATGTGTACATTTTAGTGTTATTCCTAGAAAGACTAGTTGACATCAGTATAATCAATAACAAAAACTTTATTACCATAAAACTATGAAATTTCCTACTTTTCATTAGATAAGTTCTAATACACTGCCCTCATCAAAGTATAAGTAGAAATTATAAAAAGAACTACTCTAAAATTTATATGAAAGATTCATTTTATGCTTCTCCAATGAATCTTTTAGATAAAGTCTAATTCGGGTAAATTAATTTGAATAATGACTGATATTTTTAAAGAAACATCTATTGTCTTTCTTTGTAAACAATTTTTTTAAAAGTAAGCTATAGTAGCATATTGTAGTTGAATGGGTGAAGTGACACTGGGCTGTATTGTATTACAGAATTGAACAAAATAGAAGTCAGGGTTTCCACTTAGGAAATAGGAATATACAAATATGGAGTGATGGAAAACAAGAAACCTGTGGAAATGCATGGGAATTAGTACTATCAGTGTGAACTTATAATTTCTAAAATATGTATAGAGATACATGTATATTTCATACATGTGTGAATACATTTATACATATACAGAAATGTGCATATATGTACATGTGTATAGACATGCATGTATTTCCTATATCTATCTGATGAAAGTGCCAAGAAGAATATATATTCCAGAAGCAATGAGCACAGCTAGTGTCAGCGCTTAAATTGTAATATAATTTTACACTAAAAAAAAACAAATGCTCACAAAAATGCCTGATTCCTGGGCTGCGCAGGGTAAATATAAGATAACCCTGAGACATTATGTCATGCAAGAAAGGAAGAAACTGCTAAATTTAGTTCAACCAAGCTTTTACTGAATTATTAGTATGGCACGTTCTAGGAGTTTTATTTATAAAGAAAAGATGTGTTACAAAATTTAGTCCTAAAGAATATGACCAGTAAAATATATGAAAAGATATTTAACTTCACTCAAAATAAGAGAAATACATATTAAAACTTCACTAAAATACTATGTAACAGAATGGCAAAACTAAAGTTTGAAGATGCATACTGTTAGCAAGGCTGTAAGAAATTATTGCTGGTGGGAATGTGTATTAATATAGCCTTTGTGGAGGAGGCAATATCTATCCAAATTAAAATACAAATGTCTTTTGGTTTAACAATTTCACTGTGGAGAACTTATCCTATAAGTAATCTTACACAGATACATAGTGATATATGTAGAGTTCACTAGAAAAAAAGAATGTCTATCAACAGGAGCCTGACTAAATAATGATTTCTCCATGTAATGGAAATCTATGCAGCTGTTTTTTTAAAAAAATAAATGTCTCTATGCATTAATACAGAAAGATTTCCAAAATATACTGTTAAAGGAAAAACACAAGGCAAAAAAAAATGTATATTGTATGCTAGCTTATATATACAAAGAGAGAAAAAATAAGAACTTTTTTTTTTACATTTGCTTATATAAGAATAAAGAAACTTGGGAAGAGTTGTGTTAGGGGAAGTGGGAACTGACAGGTTACAAAAATATCAGGGAGCTTTTTGCTATACCTTCTTACTCTTTCTGGGTTTAAACCATCCTACCTAATAAAAGAGTAATATGCAGATTAACCATCACTTTGTTTCACAACCCAATCAGAGCGAGTATGCAAATAAACCCAACCAAGATGGCTACAGCCACAGAAAGCAGGAGGGAGGCATTTCCCTAGCAATGGAAGAAGCCAAGCTTTCCACCTGCCCTGCCCACCTAAGCCTCCACTCAAGGCTACAAAGTTTCAATTATAGAAGGTAAACAAATCCAAACAGAAATGGCTGCAACCACAGGGTAAGCAGCAGGCTTGGCTCCACTCCAGGCTACAAAGTTTCAATTGTAGAAAGGAAATATATCCCAGATACCAAGGCCTCTGCTTGGGTCACTGGGATGCATGGCTGGCCTGCAAACCACCACAGGCCCCTCACTCAGGCTGTCCCATGCCCCAAGGAAACCCCCAACCTGATCCAGAACACCCTTCAGGGCAAACCAGCTGGCCTGCACCCATGCACCAGGCCTTTATCCTATCTAATAAAAGAGTAATATGCAGATTTACCATCATTCCAACACACAATATGGCTTCCCCCATGTGGTCAAAGATCCTGCCCCTGTGTAGACACAAGATGACTAGCAGGGGAGGATAGTTGGAAGGGACCAGGCCTGCAAGGAAGGGCAGTTGAAGGCAATCAATCCTGCAGGAGAGGACAGTTAGGGGTGACCAGGTTGGCAGAGGAAGGAAGTTGGGGGCAAATGGGCTGGCAGGGGAGCAGATAGACATCAATCAGGCTGGCATGGGACTGGTTAGGGGGTTATCAGGCTAGCAGGCAGAAGCAATTAGGAGCAATCAGGAAGGCAGGCAGGTGAGCAGTTGGGAGCCAGTAGTCCTGGATTGTGAGAGGGGTGTCCAACTGTCCATTTAGGCCTGATCCCATCGGGCAGTTGGATATCTCTCAAGGGGTCCCCGATTGGAGAGGGTGCAGGCTGGGCTGAGGGACAACCCCCATGCACGAATTTTGTGCACCGAGCCTCTAGTGTGAATATATTATCTACTTTAAAAATTATACCTGCCCCCAAAATTAAGATCCTTGAAATCCTTCTTCAGATTATCAGAAATTTCAATTAATAAATTCTGAATCAATGACAAAATATTCCTAAGTTTTCTAAGCTTATTATATTGTTTTCTTTAGATAACAGAATTCAGTCTCTATCTTGAAATAAAGAAAGTATTGCCAAGATTTAAGGAAATAGAGATCATCAAAGGAGAAAGAAATCTCAAAACACCTTAGGCTGGTTTCAAGGATGAAATTACCTTGTGTGCCTGGTGACCTGAAAGCGTATAGTATAAGCTCCATTTACCTCTCATTGATATCCTTAATTTCAGGATAATGAGCATTTGGTACATGTTTTCTAAGTCTATTCACCAGCAGGGAGTTTAATGCTTTACATGAGCATTTCTCCAATATAATCCATTGACCAGAGGAGCATTTTAAAATGCAGATTACTCATACCCAGAATCTGAATATCTGGGGTTGAGATCCAGTTATTTGCACTTTTAACTAGCTCCCCAGGTAGTTCTTATGCTATGTGAAGATTAAAAACTATTATTCCACAAAGAGTAAATGTTCAGATTCTATTAATGACAATGCATCACGCAAATGACCAGTCTATGGGGGCAAGTCTCAAGGACACAGGAGCTAGTTTGAAGGGTCTCCCACCTGCTAAATCTGGCCCCTTGATTTTCATTCATTATTAGAAAGGCTATTCTAAAATAATAAAGGAATCCACCTATGTTGTCACCTAATTCTTTTATTATTTTATTTTCTACACTTAAATCTTTGATTTATTTTAACTTATACAAGATACAGAACTAACTATAACTTTTTCCAAATGGATACCCAATTGTCCTAACACTTTTTTTAAAAATCTAGCTTTCTCCCACTAAAAATTAGATATCACCTTTAGTTCAAACTAAGTTCTGTGTATATTTAATTTTACTTCTGAAATTTCTAGACTGAATCCACTGGTTTTTCTACTTACATGTCAGAAACATACAGTTTTAAGTTAGTTTGGTTCAGTGGATAGAGTGTTGGCCTGTGGACCAAAGGGTCCCAAGTTTGATTCTGGTCAAGGGCATTTACTTGGGTTGCAGTAATACATTCACATCATTAAAAAATCAAAATGACTGGCTTAAAATAATTATATCAATAAAAAGGAAGAATGAAAAGTAATAAATTAAGCCACTGATTTAAATGAGGAAAAATAACATCCTCTCTGGCCCATGCCCTGGTCAGTGCTTGTGCAGGAGGCAACCAATCAATGTGTTTCTCTCACATCGATCTTTCCCTCTATCTTCCATTCTCCTTAAAAATCAATAGAAAAATATCCTCAGATGAGGATTAACAAACAAACAAACAACAAAAAAAGCCAACATACAGTTCTAATGACTGAGGTACAGTGATATATTTTAACATCTAATATATCTGGTCCTTCTTTATTCTTCTTTTTCAGAGGTATGTGGCTTTCTTTGCTTGTTTCCTTTTTCATATGAACTTTTAAATTAACTTGGCTAGTACTAGGGGGAAAAGTACATATTTTTATTTGGATTATGTTAAATTTATAAATTAACCTATGGAGAATTGACATGTTTATCAGGTTGAGTTTTTGCATCAAAAAGATGTATGTCTTCTGATTTTTTTCCTAACCTATTTTTGTGTTTTTCAGGAGTATTTTACATTTTTTTATCTGTGTATCTTGTACATTTCTTAATTGGATTATTCTGGGTATTTTATCTTTGCTGGTATTGTAAATGGAGTCTTTTCTTCCATTATATCTTCTAACTGGCTATTGTTTGTACATGTGAAATATACTGATTTCTGTATAATAAGTTTACCTTGATGAGTTTTCCTGTTGTATATAGTAAGTTTTCAGCCAATTACTTTGGGTTTTCCAAACACGTCATCTGTAAATAGAGATGGTTTTATCACCTCTTTTCCAATTAATTCACCTCAATTATTTTTCATTTTTGTAATTGTTTTGACTAGAACCTCCAATAAAATTTTATTTAATAGTGGTAAGAGTGAGCATCAGTTGTCTTGTTCCTGATTTTAGTTATGATACATACTTGTGTTTCTCCATTAACTATGATGTAGCTGAGTTGAACACATCTGATCATATTACAAAAGTAGCTATTGATTACTATCAAATTAAGAAGCAATGTTAAATTTTGTCAAATGCCTATGTTGCATTTAACATATATACAGAAATGGCATTTGACAAATCATTTGTTTGTTTGTTTGTCCTTACTGGATTTTTAAAAAATATATTTATTATTTATTCCAGAGAGGAAGGGAGAGGGAAAGAGCTAGAAACATCACTGATGAGAGAGAATCATTGATTGGCTGCCTCCTGCAAGCCCCCTACTGGGGATTGATTCTTGACCAGAATCAAACCTGGGACCCTTCAGTCCGCAGACGATGCTCTATTCACTGAGCCAAACCACCTAGGGCTAGAATCCTTTTGACAACAATAATTTTGGTTTTTACATCATACATAATAGGAATGTGGACACTTTCCTTCTTCTTCTATGTTCTAGAACAGTTTAAATAACATTCACAGTCTGCCCTTTAATGGTTTAATATTCCCTTTGACACTGTCCAGGCTGGTGTTTTTGGGAAGCTAGTTCTCTGACAATTTTTCTATTTTATTTATGAAAATTGTTCCAATTAGATTTTCTCTGTTTTCTTTTGGTTTATTTGGATGTTATTTTTCCTCATTTAAATCAGTGGCTTAATTTATTACTTTTTTATTGATATAATTATTTTAAGCCAGTCATTTTGATTTTTTAATGATGTGAATGTATTAACTCTTCAAATAATTAAATTTTGAAAATTAAGAAAAGCCAAATTAATCTAATATTAAATTTTGACTAAAAAACATGACATATGCCAATTAATGTAATTTGACCTCAACAACCAGATTTTGAAATTTTTCTACCTTTTATGTAGCACTTACCTTGAAAGGAATCCAGTTTAGCTTTAATTAGCATTCTTAACCTTCCTACTTCTTGTCTTTTCAGTTCATCAAGTTTTGTCCTCACATGGTGACTTACTAAATCAAGCTCTTTGCTTAGTCTCCCACTCTGTTGACAAAATAATAAGTTAGTTTTATCTATTACACTGTATTTTAGAACAGATGCCATATATTAAAAATAGGGTTATAATAAAGTAGAGATAGATACTTTTGACTGATTTCAGTAAATCTGGTATTACGAAAGCATTTTCTTTCAGAAAATATTCAGTTGTAAGTCTAAAATCAAGATATCTAAAAGCATAAAACTTATAAAGGCATAATTAAAGCACAAAGGAGAAACTCAAAAAGTCACTCTTGCGTTATAAAATAGTGCAGCCATTTGGGGGAAAGAATTGGCAGTTCCTCAAAAATTTAAACGCAGAAGCTCTCTCAAGAAACATGCCTGTACCCACTTCCCCAGAGCATTTTCCTTGCCTCTCTTTCACCTAAACTCCAAGGAGAGCTTTTACTTCTGTAATTTGTTTTCTGAGCCCATTTCTTCTACACCTCACTTCTTCTGCCCCTGTAAGTTTCTAAATAACTTTCTCTTGCCCCAGCCAAGTAGATAATTTGGTTAGACTTAGAGCATCGTCCCGATATACCAAGGTGTGGGTTTAACTCCCAGTCACAGCACATACAAGAATCAACCAATAAATGCATAAATAAGTGGAACAACAAATTGATGTTTCTTTCCCTCCATCCCTTCCTCTCTCTCTCTAAAAATCAGTTAAACAGCCGAAACCAGTTTAGCTCAATGGATAGAGCGTCGGCTTGGGGATTGAAAGGTCCCGGGTTCGATTCCGGTTAAGGCCGTGTACCTTGGTTGTGGGCATATCCCCAGTAGGGGGTGTGCAAGAGGCAGCTGATCGATGACTCTCTCTCATCGATGTTTCTAACTCTCTATCTCTCTCCCTTCCTCTCTGTACAAAATCAATAAAATATATTTTTAAAAAATAAATAAATAAAATAAAATAAAATAAAAACCAGTTAAACAGAGTTACCATATGACCCAGCAATTCTATTTCTAGGCATCTACCTAAAGAATTGAAATGTATGTTTACATAGAAACTTGTACATAGAATGAATGTTCACAGTAACATTATTCATACTAGCCAAAAAGGTAGAAATAACTCAAATGTCCATCAACTGGTGAACTGACAACCAATAAATGGGATATCCATCCAATGGGATATTACTCATCCATAAAAAAGGAATCAATATACTAATACTTGATACTTTGAGATAAACCTTGAGAACATAAGTTTTCATTCATTATGGGAAGTCATAGTATCCAGACACAAAAGGCCATATATTGCATACTTGCATTCATATGAAATGTCCAGAATAGGCAAATCTATAGAGATAGAAAATAGATTAATGGTTGCCAGGGGCTAAGGAGAGAAGGAAATGGGGAGAGATTGCTCAATGGATACAGGGTTTCTTTTGGGGGCAAGTGAAATTGTCCTAAAGTTAGTGGTAATGATTACATGACTTCATGACTTGGTGGATATACTAAAAAACACTGAATATTAAGCATTAAAGGGGCAAATTTGATGGTATGTGAATTATATTTAGTAAAGGGTTTTTTTTTTTAAAGTAATTTGGCCTACTTCAGCTATTGTCATCCTATATATAAATACCTTCAAAATTCATGTTTTGTAGGTTGACGCCTTTGATTACTTTTTTCATAGATAAGTAATAAGATACATGTTCCAAGATTTAAGAAACAAAATAGCTAGTGGTTTACTTTCTCTTATTTATAAGTGCACTTGCAATCACAAACTGCAAGTCTAACTGGCAATCAGGCAAACCCTTTAGGACTGAGTCAATAGGGCCTGCTAAAGATGGTAAACAAAAGAAACCCCACAAGGGAGACCAAGAATGTTCACAGAGGAAGGAGAGCTAGGAAAATATACTCTTATAGAAGCAAAAATAGCAGTGTATCTCAAGGAGAGAATGGTGATTATTACTAGATAAAACAACAGTTCTCAAAGTGTGGGCCCCAAGTGGAAGCTTCTGCGCCACCTAGGAACTTCAGAAATACAGACCCTAGACTTACTGAATCGGGAAGTCTGGAAATGTGGCCCTAAATCTGTTTTTGAATCAGCCCTAAAATCTGAAAACCATTGAGATAAAGTAAAAGAGCTCAGGAAGAAGAGGAATAAAAAGTGTTCACTAGATTTAACAATTAAGAAGTCATTGATGCAAAGCTGAATGTAGTTAAATGATGTGATAACCTCTAATATTTATCTAATAAATGTGTATTCAGATGAACCCGAAAGAAAGAAAGAAAGAAAGAAAGAAAGAAAGAAAGAAAGAAAGAAAGAAAGAAAGAAAGAAAGAAAGGAGTCAGAGTTCAGAGCAAGATGGCAATGAAGTAGATGGAAGTTACACTGACCTCCTCTCTAGACCATATCAATGTCAGAGTTGCAACTAAAGTTGGAACATCTAAAGACTAACTAAATAACCATCTAAAGAGTAACTAAACAGAGTCTTTTTTTTTTTTTTAATATTCCCAAGATTTTTATTTTCTCTATTCTTGCCCTCCCTTTATGAACAGAAGCCTTATAACTAAGGATATACAGAGGAATCCACATGGAGACTGGTAGGAAGAGCAGAGATATGAAAAGGGCTGGCTCCACACCCATGTGTGTGTGTGGGGGGGGTGGTAACGGGGAGTAAGAATCCAGAGGGATGCCCTAGCCGGTTTGGGTCAGTGAATAGAGCATCAGCCTGTAGACTGAAGGGTCCTGGGTTCGATTCTGGTCAAGGGCACATGCCTGGGTTGGGGGCTCAATCCCCAGGGGGAGGTGTACAGGAGGCAGCTGATCAATGATTCTCTCTCATCACTGATATTTCTCTTTCTCCCCCACTCCCTTCCTCTCTGAAATCAATAAAAAATATATTATATATTCAAAAAAGAGTCCAGAGGGATATCTCGGCTGAAGAAGTCTCTAGAAGAGCAAGGGGCCTCAGCTCCACACACCAGGCTCCCTAACCTGTAGCACCAGAGCCAAGAATTTGAGCCCACACAGTATCTGGCTGTGACAATCAGCGGGGCTACCACCCACCCTGGGGAGAAGAGAGACTGATGTTTTAAAGAGCCAGTGCACAAAATCTCCCTCGCAGCATTCACTCTGGGCTCTAGTGGAGGATCAGCATTTTGGAGGGGACCAAAGTCATATTGGAAGAGATTGAATGGCATGGCTGTGAGCAGAGGGCTGGAGACACAGAAGCAAATGTCCCTGTGCTAGGTCCCTCTCCCACACCATCCACGGATGCCATCATTCCTAGGCCAAGCTTTCCCCTGCATAAGGCATCAGCCTGGGAGTGGCAATAGCCCCTACTTGTCGACTCCTGCAAACCCGGCCCTGCCAATCTGCTAGTCTCTAACCTGAGCCCATGGTGCAGACTTTCTTAGAGGGCTGTGGAGGAGATCTGGAGAGACTCAGGGGATGGCAGACACAAAGGGAGAGACTGAGTTGTGTGGTTCTAGGGGAAGGGCCATTTTTCTCTCCCACACCAGACCAGCACCACTGTTCCTGTGCAGAGCCATCCCTCCACACAGCCAAATCTTGTTCTGTTTTAACCTGATGGACTCTTACCCTAGCAAAACCCTGAGACCCCGCCCCACCACAAACTCAGAAAGGCCCAGGCAGGTGGCAACTGGCTTTAGTTACCCTCAGACTTTTGCTGAATGGGCTCAGTCCCAGCATTGGCACTGAGTTTGATTCTGTGTCATCCTTGTGACTACCACTCACTCCTACCTGGTGACTCACTGAGATCTTATTTCACACAACTTGCATATGGTCAATGAGTGAGCTTAACAAGTAACCTGTAGGTAGAGGCAGATCTCAGGTTAACTGGGGACTTGACTGGCCTGCCACCAGGCTCTGTACTGATGGAAGCAAGACTTAGTATGCAGCTTGTCCCCTCCCATGCACACCCAGCCCAGCAGAGACAGCCACAAATAGTGGATCACTCTGAAACTCCAAACAAGTAAGCCCAGGGCCAATCACAGGTAGCATCTGACATTGACCTGCACCAGAAGCTCCAGAACCAACACACCCAGTGGCTGGCTTCAGACCACATCAATCAATTCCTCAAGCAGCACACCCAAAAGGAGATCTTGGCAGGCACCAGACCCTGGTTGAATGAATTGCACTTCATGATATCAGCCTCCACACAGCAGTTCATAAACTATGGCCAGGTCAATCCTCATAGTCACCAACTTGAGGGTCAATGCATCCTCAAATGGGCCAATAGCAATCAAAACTCAACTACAATAGGAGGGTTCACATAACTCACACAAGAGACATTCTTGGAGCACCTAACTCACGTAGTCAGGGAATCTGCACTGCTGAGTCCCACAGGACACCTTCTACAAAAGGCCAACCTACCATGACTGGGAAATATAGAAGATCTACCAAATACACAGAAACAAATACAGAAAGGCTGCCCAAATGAGGAGACAAAGAAACATGTCCCAAATAAAAGGTCATGAGAAATCCCTAGGAAAAAGAGCTAAATAAAATGGAATCTACCAGTTACAGAGTGCAAAACAATGGTTATAAGAAAGTTCAAGGAAAGAACAGATGAACTCAGTGAGAACTTAAACAAAGAGATAGTAAGCATAAAAAGGACATAGATACAGACAACATACTGATGAATGCAAGAGGGGAGGAGTGCTAGGAGTGGTGGTGAAAAAAGGTGATGGGATTAAGAAATACTAATTGATAGTTACAAAATAGGCATGGGGATGTAAGATAAAGCATAGGAAATATAGTTAACAATATTATAATAACTATGTATGGGGCCAGGTGGGCACTTGAATTATTGGAGGAATAGTTTATAATTTACTAGAAGCCCAGTGCATGAATTCATGCAGAGAATAAAATAAGAATGACCCAGAAGGGTTCTTTCTAACAAAGTTCTCTAATTCTGATTCTAGAAATGGATGAGGTATTTTTTTAGAAATTTTTTTAAAATAAACAAAAATAGTATAAACAAACAACATTTGAGAGATATAACTGAAAGTTTAATATTAAATCACTGGACATTTTTTTACAGCTGACTCTAAGATAAACCCAACTAAACTGATTCATCACCCTTCAAGTATGAGCTTTAAAAGAATCTCTCTGGTAAGTTTTTTACAACTCCCTTTCTTTATTATGAGTACTAAGGAGATGTCTGGGGCTATAATTATGTCTAGTAGTATCCTTAAGACAAAGGCAAATAGTTAAATTTCCCCTATTTTTTTTTTTTTTAATCCTCACCAGAAGACATTTTTCCATTGATTTTTTTAGAGAGAGAAAGAAAAGGAGAAAGACAGAAATATCAATGTGAGAGAAACATTGATTGGTTACCTTCTGCACCAACTCCTACCAGGGCCTGAATCAGGGAGGAGTACATGCCCTTGACCAGAATCCAACCCAGGATCTTTCAGCCTGAAGGTTCACACACTATCCATTGAATCAAACTGGCTAGCGCTAAATAGCCCCTGTTAACATAAGATGTGGCCCATTACCTCTTCTATTAATCTGGATCTGATTAAGACACCAGAACTTTTCCTACTTTATACTTTGATTAGCTTCCTTTTGTCCTCACATCATGATCCAAGCCCTTTAACATGATGCACAAAGCCCTCTGTCATCTAACCCAAGATTCTGCCCAATTTCATCTTTTAGCCAATCATGGCCTCCACTCTTTAGCCTAGGTTACTATATACTTCCAATTTCCTGTATATCTCTTGTTTGGATGCCTCCCAGTCTCTTTCCTTTTCTTAGTCACATCATTAAGCACTGACATAATCTCCATACACACACACACACACACACACACACACACACACACACACACACACACACAAATGACTTCCCGCCTTTCCCTATTGCTTCTTACTAAATTATGAATCCATCCTCTGTATATCCAAAATATACTATCTACTCATCTTAATAATCTTCTGGATGTTAGTTTCCCTTGAGGGTTCTCTAAGGGAGCGAGTCTCCTCTTTATATCCCCAGCACTTAGATCAGTGCCAGGAATGTTCAAATATTTTAAAAATAATTATTTAATTACTTTTACCTTTATTTCCTCTATGTCTGCTTTCTGGAGCTTTTCTCTGAAATGATTATCTGTTTCCAGCACATCAATCACTTGCTTGAGATATTCATCATAATATAGTCCAGTATCCTTTAAATTAATAAACAAACAGTAAACTTCTGAAAGATTTTCCTTCCCTGCATCTAAATATTTCAATTTAACAACAACAAAAAAGTCTAGCAAAATAGCATTGAACTATTTGATAGTTTGGGCAAAGTTAAAAATCTCAAATGTTTTGTTGCAGAAACCATGTTTCAGGGATCACACCAAAATCGTGTTTTAATGTTATGTAAATACAGGTTTTCTATATAGCTTAGTCAATGAGGACTTCAAAAACTATTAATTGGTTTTACCCCATTGGTACCTGTTTCACTGCCATCTACCTCTCCTTTGAATATAATACAGTGGTTTTTTGGCTGGTTAGCTCTACATTAGAAATGTATTGTGATTAATTCTTCTATACATTACTTAATATATTAACTACATATAGCCAGCATGGCTCAGTGGTTGAGCATTGACCTAGGGCCAGAAGGCTATATGCCCAGGCTATATGCCCAGGTTGCAGGCTCAATCCCCAGTCTGATCAGTAATTCCCTCTCATCATTGATGTTTCTATCTCTCTCACCTTCTCCCTTCTTTTCTGAAATCAATAAAAATATATTTAAATACATATATATATAAACTGCATTAAAAAAAACATTGTCTAACATTAAGTAATACATGCTTGTCCTATATTCTTTTTACTGCTACTTCAAAAATAGTTTCTAAATGTCCAATTTTATAACTAATAAATATTAACAATATTTTAGTTAAAATTCTTCCCATAAGGTTATATTTGTTATTTGACTTACTGGTGGTTCTATCTTTGCACTGTCCACAGGTTGAGCACCTTTTACTTTTGTCTTGTCTATGTCTATAGGCACAGCTTCAAGAGCAGTAAGTAGACATGTAACCAAGAGAAAATAATATTGCTGTAGGATGGTACTCCACCTCATCTGAAATAAAGGTATAATTATAGAAAGGTCTTGAAAAGATGTTTTCAAACTGTATATACATGAATTCCCAAAGCCAAATTAATAATATATTAAATTTCAAGAAGTTTAATACAACAAAAGAATTCTATGAAAAGGGTTAAAATAGATTATAACATAAAAATGCTTAAAATACAGCACTAAAGAGAAATGCTTTTCAGTTAAAATTAAAAAGACAAGGAAATAAAATTTTGACAGATTGTATAGTATAAGAAAACAATTGGTTGATTATAAAAGCTTCAAATAAAGATGGCAATGAAGGACTCAAAATTTAAATAAATGGTCCATGTTTTAAAAAGAGAGAATAAGAAAAAAAAATCAGCCGAAACTGGTTTGGCTCAATGGTAGAGCATTGGTCTGCGGACTGAAATGTCCCAGGTTCGATTCCAGTCAGGGGCATGTACATTGGTTTCGGGCACATCCCCGGTAGGGGTTGTGAAAGAGGCAGCTGATCAATGTTTCTCTCTCATAGACGTTTCTAGCTCTCTATCTCTCTTCCTTCCTCTCTGTAAAAAATCAATAAAATATATTTTAAAAATCATTTTTCCTCAATTAAAATATTAGAGAGCCAAAATTACTTCTGGATATAATATTTAATGAGCTTCAACTTAATTTTGTGAAAAGGGTGTTCAATGGGCACAAGTTGATCAAAAGAAACAAATAATTAGCTTCAAATATTCACTTAACCTTATTATAATTACCATAGCCAATAGTCATTTGCTAAAATTATTTCTGGTCAATAATTTTTCAAATAAATAGGTCAATAAAATATCTAGCAAATTGAAACAAACAAGGAGCAACTATTGCTGGTCCCATGATATGATTCAAATTCTGCTTATTCAGCTTCCATTCCAGAGGATCTCAGTAGCTCCAGAGGGTCTACTATAAGAATTATAATGATGCTCAACCCTAGGTGGTTTGATTCAGTAGGTAGAGCATTAGCTTTCAGACTGAAGGGTCCTGTGTTCAATTCCAGTTAAGGGCACACAGGTTCTGTCCCGTATAGGAGGCATGCAGGAAACAGTTGATCAATGATTCTTTGATGTTTCTATCTCTATCTCCCTTTTCCTTTCTCTCTGAAATCAATAAAAATATATTTTAAAAATAATCTATACTAATAAAAGGGTAATATGCTAATTAGACCAAATATCTTCTGGACAACCTTCCAGACGCACTTCTGGACAAAACTGTGGTGGTGGGGCTCAGACAGAGGTGGTTTGGGGCAATCAGGCCAGCAGGGGAGAGCATTTAAGGGGGTCAAGCTGGCAGGGGAGAGCAGTTGGGGGGATCAGGCTGGCATGATTATTGGTAATTGGGGAAAAAAAATTTACTTCTGATGATTATGTGATATCCTTGGGATAACTCTCTCTGTCTTTTTACTGCCTTACATAAAGCAAGTGGCTCAAAAATTAAAAAAAAAAAAAAATGGCTCTTTTTAAACACAACTATAAATTGCACACACAAAAATCTATTAGCATTTATGAGTAATTTTAAAAATAACCAGAATAAATCCCACTTGAAACAGAAAGGCTTCTATAATAAATCATGAGATAAAAGTAAGAAACAAAAAACACAATTTATTATTTATTTTCTTCTGTAGACATGGTCAGACTTAAAAGTTGTTCCATGGAAAATTACCAAAGCATCTATGAGTGGTTATCATGGCTTACAGTTCTCAGAGATAAAAAAGATACTCTGGAAGATAATCCTATTTGCCTGCCAATAGCTACATTTTCCCTTCCTCCTCAATAACAAAAGACCATTTTATTCAGGGCAGCTATACTTTCCTACTTCCCTGGCAGCCTGAGCTTTGGTTTAGGACATCTCTCTAAAAGGAGAGAACACATCCTTCTTTGCTTTTGCATTGATGCGTGGAACTTGGCTGTGATGGTTAGAGCTCTAGCAGCTCTCTTGGACTACAAGGACCAGGGCCACCCCTTATAGACAGCAGATCAAAGAATTAGAAAAAGCTTAGGTCCTTGATGACTTTATGAAGCTACCATACCTAACCTAAACTGCCTGCTTCAAGTCAGCAGCTGTGTATCACTGCAGGTTGCCCAGGAAACCAGAGAGGGTTGGACCTGCATTACCACGATTTGCCCACCATCCAGAACTAAAATATCATTGCTGACATGTACATGATCTCACTCATCTAGGGGAAATGGTGAACAACCTAAACTGATGAACCAGAACAGACCCAGAGATAAGGAGCCATGGGTCAAACTGTTGGGCCTCAAAGGGAGGGTGGGGATACAAGGGAGAGACCAACCAAAGGACTTATGTGCATACATATGAGCCTAACCAGTGTTCCAGGACAATAGGGGGAGGGGGCATGAGTGGGGGGGGGGGAGGATTGGGATGGGGGGTTGAGACAAATATGTGATACCTCAGTCAATAAAGAAATTTTAAAAAAAGATTTATTTCACATGAGAAAATAAATATTGTGTGTTTAAGCCATCATTAAGTCTGTTTTTTTTGTTTGTTTGTTTGTTTTGGTTTGGTTTGTTTTGGTGTTTTTCTTTCTTAACTGATAACTTACCTTCAGATAAATTAAGAATTTTTATCTCCTTTTTGCAGATGAGGCAACTGAGATCTGGAGAGGTAAGATGACTTGCACAATATCAAATTAATAAGAAGTTGGTCTTGGCTCCAAGCTCAATGCTTTTTCACTAAAAATGGACTCTTAACAGGATCTAAATGTAAAAAATAAAAAGAAAAACATGAAATATAAACATAAATGTAGGCATATTACAGTGGAAATGGCATGACAGTGTATGAATTGGTACATCCTCTTTTTTAAAAAGTGCTGTCTATGATGTGGAAGAAGACTAAATTCTATCATATTCCAGTAGTGAGGGGAGAGAGCTACAGTAAATAAACAGAATAAAAATGGGATTGGGATAGACAGATACAGTGCTTGTGATACATAGGTTTTACTATACTGCTCCCATTGTAAATAAATAAGAACTCCAACTAAAAGTTTATTTTGCTCAGCAATAAGACTTCAAGATATAGGGTATGTTTTTCCATTAAATCCCTAACTGGAATCTTTCTTCACCTTTACCACTACTTTTAAAAAATTAACTTTGGCCTTAGTCTGTCACAGAGATCAGTAATAAAGCAAAATACCTCAAATTCTTTTTTGAAACCCCACTATCTAACTATAAAATTCAAAGCAGTTAGCTCATGTGCAAACTCACTAGTGAACGTAATTATTTCTAAGCAGTCTGTGAGAAAATAAGATGTGTTCATATTTTAAGAACAGATATATTTCTTTATTTTTATGGTATATTTAACATAAAAATCTTAAGCAGAAGAACAACCATTATGCATGTTAGATGTGGGAAAGGCAAATGGCTTTTATTAACACACCATGGTCAAAATTAAACAACAGATTGAATCCTAACCCTTTCTATGTACTTGGACATTACTTGCCCCTCTGAGTCTCAATTTTTCTACCTATAAAATTAAACTAATACTTCTTTGTAAGTTTTTGATTGGGTGAAAAAAAAAGAATAAATACAATGTGAGTAGCATAATACATGGCAATAATAAAGGCTCAATAAATATTAATACCCTTCCTGTCTTGAAAATGAAATAGCTATATATTGAAATAATAAAAATATGTTCTGTTAAAAAAAACAATGAACCAGTTTGACATACAACCTTTAAATGTCATTTTTTGAAGGGCCACGTTGGCACTCTCTGAGCATTGTCATAACCAGAGATGCAGCTATAGGCCGATGGAAAGACACATACAAGGAAGAAGAACACAATCCCTTCCTCCCTGGCATTAAAACAGAGATTTTGCAAGAGGCCCAGGTTTCTTTCCCCAAGGCACTGCCCCAAGCCAAGAAACCTGGGTTGCTGCTTGTTACTGTCAATGTCATAATGCTAACAGTGAAAAGGAGTAGGGTAGAGAAAAAATGGCTTCCAAGTTTCTCAATGGCAGCAGAAATGAGCACAACTGGTACCCTGATGCTCAACTCTGTTTTTCCCTTTGAAAATGAGCACCAGTGGATAAGTGAGGTTCAAAATACTTCAACCCTTCCCTGTATCAAGACATTAGTATAGATGTTAGTGTTTCTCATGCTCATATCAGCAAAAAAAGACATCAATCCAGGAACCCATTACATGGCCTTTTTCCCTACGTAACCATCAGTTACAGTATCCTTGATAACAGAATTCTGGGACCAAAATTTATCTTAGAGATGGTTTGGTTCAGGCCTTACTTTTATAAAAGTTTATAAAACACAGGGAGATTAACTGATTTGGCCAAGATCATTTGGTAAAGCCAGGACTGGAATCTGCCTATCAAATTCTAATTAAGCATACTTTTTATCATATCATGGTGGGGTTTTCTTTTATATTTCAGATTGAAAAGCATTAAAGTGATTGCAGTTTTTCATTTTCCTAATACATCATTTGAAAATGTTAGGAGCCTGTTTTCTAAAGTCTATAAATTAGTTGCATATATTAAACATAAAAATAACAAATTTCCCCTTTCTAGACCTTCAATTATTTAGAAAAAGTTAATCATACGTCATGCCAAATATAGTCAACTCAATTACTCACAATACTTAAAAAATTACCTACTTTAAGGATTATTTTAAACACATTTAAAAATCCTACACTTGATTCCTCCAGCTACCCAATATTTACTAGAATATTTTGCACTCCCAAGTCATCCAAAAGGTCCTTAGAAAGTGGAAAGCAATTTAAATATTTTTCTAAATAACACAAAATTGGTTTCATATAGAGATATACACAACAAATCCCAAAACAAAGACATTGGTGTAACTGATACTCTAAACTAAATCAATAGTGTTTTTGTTTTGTTTTGTTTTTTTGTTGCTTTGTTTTTAATTGACCTTTCAGAGAGAGAAAAAAAAATATCCATCAACCACCTTCCACATGCCCCACACCCACACCCCACCTAGGCATGTGCCCTTCAGTATAGGGGA